ATCTGGGAAGCTCAATCCCAAAATTTCTAATAAAAAACAGAATAAATAGCGGAATAATTTTTTTAAATAAAACTTACAAAGAAACTGTTGGGTGTTTTCGATGCCATGTGCCTTTTAAAATTTGTAGTGCGTGTTTTTTATGATATTTTTGCTGCACACATATTGCACTTAAAATTTTCATCAATTACCCACCAAAAAAAATCCACAAATAACAGTTTCCTTTTTAAAACATTTTTGATTAGAACAGGCCGAATAAATTTAAAAGGGAAATTAAAAATACATAAAATGTTCAAAATATTCGGAATGTGCTTTTAGACAGTAGGTATACTAACGAAAAATTTATTATAAAAAGGTTGCCGCCAACCTTAATTCAGATAACTAGAAAAAAAACTGTTTATTTTATCTTGTTTTCTTTTAAAACATTTTCTTTTATATGTAACTCAAAAGAAGCCGAGTGCAAACTTTCCAACTTTTAGATAAATAAAGGACAATATGACATTTTATTATATTTAAAATTTCTCTAAAATGAAAAAACTGATTGTAAAGGATGTATTTAAATTAACATAGTGAGCTGATCCACAACTGTTAGTATATTCCAGAAAATTATATTATATTATGGATTGTTATAAAATGTTTATAATAATATAATATATAACAAAATATAATAAATAAAAGGGCACTTTTTTCCATGCTCTATATCTTCTAGTAAATAAAGGATAAAAATAGATAATTTTTTATAATTTGAATCCAAAACTGTCCTTATGAATCATTTTACCTGAATCATTACCTGGGAGCAACTGTAACTATAATTAGTCATAACCGAAACAAAAGAATTTTTTAACCCTTCTCAATCCATAATTATATTATAAATCTAAAACTATTATCAAAATTTAAAACTAATAAATTATATATATTATACGGTATATAAACATATATAAGTTCCATTTTCCAACGCTTCATAAAATTACGGGGCCCTGATTGCGAATGTGATTTTGCGATTCTAGTTCTAGCCGATGTGTTGGGAGCTGCGAACGAAATCGCAATCGCGCCGTTCTCGTTGGCGTGCCCTACTCCTGATGCCGCGCCGGTGCCAACGAAAATCGCAATCGCAATGCTGGGATGCTGAGCTGCGATTTTCGTTCAGCTCACTCGCTCGCCTGTCCACTGCCGTGTTGAAGACGCGCCGCCGCCGGCCAGGGCGTAGGAGAATCGCAATATTGCGATTTTCGTTCGCCGCTCATCGTTCGGCTTCTCAGTGCCGATGCCGTGTCGATGCAACGCCACGCCGGTGCGAACGAAAATCGCAATGCTGTGATTTTCGTTCGCAGCCTCTTCGTTCGCGGTGCCCACTGCGATTGCAAATCGCAACTGGTGTAATATTGGTTGCCTAAAAATCCAAAATCGGCAGATATATGTTTCAATCGCAAGTCGCAGTTTACTATGGAAAGGAATCACAGGTTGCGATTGCGAATTTACAATCGCTGCGATTAAATCGCAGTTTGCGATTTTCTGCTCATCTCTAGTACGCAACACATGTAATTAAATGGAAAAACATACGCACATGTGTTCATGACGTGGGTTGGCCAGGCATGGCGTGGCGGGGCGTGTGACCTAATGTGGTCCCAGCTTAATCACAATTAATTATAATAATAATTACCGTGTTCATAAGATGATACGGCTGTGTCAAAGTTCAACCTATGGCTAAAAATTATTTTACCTTATCAGTTAAATCTTAATAACAGTACCCGTTATATAAATTTAGATACGCATTGTGTTCTATTGTTTATTTTGAATTGACATTTACAGGGATCACATAATATTCCAAACTCTTGCCAAAATCTTTAATCAAGTGTACAAAGACATATCTATGGTATAGTGAGATATATTATGACATTTCAGTCTCTAATATTTTTAAAGCGTAATTATTCCCCATTTTCATTTTTACATAATGCAACGATATAAACAGTTTTATACTCTCAGATGCAAAAAGAAAGCAAGGAAAATTTTTACGTCAAATTTAGAGTGTTGTATTATTTTTAGCCCTATTTTCGTGATTTTTTTTAGCAAACTGTAGATAAATATATCTACTTTAATTTATATATGCTCAGTTTTTGATAAACTTTAGTATTTAGCTTATTTTACGGGGTTCATCGAAGGGTTATTTTTTCCTTTATCTTTAAAACACCCTGTCGTGAGAAAATTTTCCCAAAACATTAATTTTCGGTCAGAGCCATGTATTTTGAGCATTTTCTTTTTTGTTTCATGTCTACGCATGCCTTGGTTAATTTTTAAGAGCGAAATGCAATTTATTATTTAAAATATACCAACTAGGGAATGCAATCCCGCACCAAAATCTCAATCCCGCAAACCCGCGGGATTAAAGCACTCAATCCCGCGGTTCCGCAAAATTGCGGGACTGTAAACAATATATGCTCTTTTTTCTCTCCGATTTTGGGATGCGGTTTGGACCAGGTTTTAGACGCATCTATTGTGATTAAGATGCTATGTGGTTTTCGAAAATATATTTAGCGAATTCTCGTATACAGGGTGTTTTATAATAGTGTACAAATTTGGTTAAGAATCTTTTTTACCGAAAGTTTACAATTTTTGAAAAATCGAAATTTTAACTATGTACGACTAATTTGTATTGAAATTAGAAAAAAAAACAATTCGGTGGGTTTTTTTAAATTTTTGTTTTAAGGAAAATACGAGTTTTTTTTCGAAAAATATGCATTTATAGTCATACATTTGGTCCTAAATGGTACAAAAGGCATTGTACATTTTGCATAGGCCCACAATATATTGATATAGCGTGTATCTTAAACTAGCTGTACAGAAATTTGGACCGATACGTATACAGGGTGTTCAAAAAATATATTTAATATTAAATAAACTTAAATTTTATTATAATTTATCTACTTATTTTATAAATAAAAATGTTATTCTGATGTTGAAGTTTTTTTTTAACTTGTGTTAGTAATCTGCTTTTAGATACACTCTATATCAATAATTTTTTGGCATATGCACAATGTACAAAGCTTTTTGTACTATTTAGGACCATCGTATGAATAAAAATGCATATTTTTCGAAAAAACGTCGTATTTTCCTTAAAACAAAAAAAATTAAAAACCCGATCAAATTGTTTTTTTTTTCTAATTTCAATACAGATTAGTCGTACTTGGTAAAAATTTCGATTTTTTAAAAATTGCAAATTTGCGGTAAAAAGATTCTTGGTCAAATTTTCACACTCTTGTAAAACACCCTGTATACGAGAATTCGCTGAATATATTTTCGAAAACCACATAGTATCTTAATCACAATAGATGCATCTAAAACCTGGTCCAAACCGCATCCCAAAATCTTTTTTAGTTCAAGAGATATTCCACTTTAAATTTACCCTAAAATGCTGCTTGTCCCGATAATTATGTCCGGCAGTTTATTTGAGGAAATTGTCCACAAGTACTAGTTAAACGCTTTTCTTCACCCACGCACGCCAGAAAGAAATCTAACAACTAACCTGTTAAGTTAATTTATTTATATATACAGTTTGTTAAAAAAATCATGAAAATAGGACTGAAATATATAACACTTTAAATTTGACAAAAGAATTTCCGTTACGTTTTTTTTCAACCGAGCGTAATTATTTTTTATCAACTAGTCGTAACATTGGAAACTAACTTAATATACGTATGAAGTAAGTTTACATCAAATTCAATGACATTTAGAGAGTATTAATATTTTATAATTTCCCCTATTTATTTGGTGACATATCTATATATCTATATTTCCCCACGAGTAACATCGATACAAGTCCAAAAAAGACTTTTTTTTCAGGAAAATAGACCAAAAATATTCTTCAGATAATATTACTTCGCTTAATTTTTTTTTTGTATCTACACGCTACTGTCGGTGAAATTATTGAATACAGACTTAAATTCATATTTTCTAATTAACCTAAATGGCGCTCTTCGACCATATAAACTGTCAGAAAGTCTGAGAGCTTTCAAGAAAGGCTTTTCTCATGGAAAGGCAAATTTTATCATTAATTAGCTCTAAAAAAAGCTACAAAAACAATGTATTTTGCCAAGTTTACCTGGTGTCTTTAACAATAACGAAAAGACGGGTTAAAACGAGACAATAGATGATATTTTTCCAAGTAAAAAATTAAAATGCCTGCCTAATTATAATTGTTTGGTTTTAAAATGTATTTAATTAATTTTTATTTTTGTGAAGGGTGGGCATTATGGGGACTTAAATCAGGTGATTTTTTTTTATTTGAATATTGAAATATTATTGAAGGACTTTAAAATCTAAATTAAGTCCTAATTATTTGGAAATCCGATTAATTATTATTAATAATGTTTTCGATTAAAATCAAAAAAAAAATCTGAATTTTTATTAAAAATCATTTTTGCCAACTCTATTTTGTAAAACTTTTTAAAGTTATATTTAACTGTTGGTACATAAATAAAAATTGTCATTTGGGTGAGAAGCCTCAAGTATTTTCTTCTTTGAATTTCCAAAAAAATTACAATGAATCGATTTCATTGGCGTTGCCTTGAGAGACATAAATATCGTTCTATAAACAAGAAAATGCTGACAAATGTATTTTTTTGTATTATATTTTCATCTGTTTCTAAAGTAAAATAAAATTATGTCTAAAACGTATCGTTTTGTCGGATGTATCGAATCGATATGGAATAATATATATTTTTAATGCTTTATTTAATATGGAGATTCTGTGAAACAAGAGGGGGATATGAATTTATCTTCATGCCTGTTTATATTTGCGTATTTTGTGAAAAAAAACATTGAAATATCCAGAATCATTTATTAAGATACATGTTAATTCGAACTTTTTAAAAATTCATTTTGTTAAAAATAAAACTGTCATATTTATAGAATTTTCTTTTGAAATTTTGTTTAATGAATTTTTAACACCCTGTCTAGTCTGTCTTTCTATCTGTGTATCTAATTAATAATATATTTCTTCTTTTTAGGTTGACAAATGCATTTTTAGGGTAAGTCTTTCTTAGTAATTTAGTAATGTACTGAGTGACAAAAAAGGAGAACACCCACTGTAATGCTGAAAATAATTTAGACAGATGGAGCAGGTGATTTAATACAATCATCGGTTCTTCATGAACTTCTAACGTACCATTTAACAAATATCTGATACGTTTCACCTGCCAGGATTTAATAATTATTATTATTTTCCATATTTTCATTAATTTTATCTTGTTATCATTGTATGGTTTTATAATTACTATACCATAACTGTATTAATACTATTCAGAACCGGCATTTAGAACTAAGCATTTTAGGACATACATTTATACGAACTGTTTGACTTATTTTTATCTGCAGAATATGCTGCTGAAGTTTCCGGAATACAGTTCGGACCACCCTGTATATTATGTGTTCTGCTTTTTTCCACTCAGTATAATATTCGCATTGTTTCATTTTATTGGTAAATATCGTTTACTCTGAGCATGAAAACATCATTATATTAAGTTTTTATTGAACGAAGTTTTTTTTAATTGGAAAATTATGGATTACCGTTTAGAGAAAGTGACACTTTTTAGCGTTAATTTTTTATTAGCTTGTATAAATTTTAATTGCAGAATTTCCTGGCGAATTTGCAGATTCTCAGTTTGACACGATATTTCGAATCTTCTTGCTCGAAAATAAAGCGGCTCTTTGAATGAACATCTTTGTTTCCTGTTAATTATGGTTTTCGCCGATTTTATTGTAATATTTATTAATTAAAATTTGTTAACGAGATGGTTTCTAAGAAGTTGGTGTTGTAGTGTAACAAGCTGGAGCAGGCGAGCTAATAAAGGCTTTTGAATTCGGAAATATATATTCCTGTTTATTTTATTCACGTGGATATGTTTTAAATAAGCTTTTCTTTGTATCCGAGGATGGAATCGAAGTGTATACTGTAGAGGTGATTCGGTGAGAAACGGTTATATCGCAATATAATTATGCTCTCTATTTGATATTTGTTCTACTTTATTTTGCGAAAGCTTTTGTTTCAACTTAAAATAAAATATGCTTTCCACTTGCCGTCGTCGGTATGGCACGTTCAATTATCTCACTCAAATAAAGAAGGAGATTGTATGAATATATTCATACAATGAAACTTTTGCTATTCTAAAATAAATATTGTTGTTTTATCGAGGCCTCTAGTTGGAGATGTGTTTTTCAAATAGAATTGTTAAAATAAAATTGCATAGTAAAATTTCCATGACACTTTCTTCGAAAATATTATAATTTTTATATCCTTCTATTCAAATTTCCTGAAGATACTATAAACACAGTCATTTAAAATAACCCAAAATCTCTGCATGTTTGAGCACCCTATATACAAGGTGTCCCATGCTGAGCGTGCATTAGAAGTTTCTAGAGAACCACAATATCTAGATCGGAGATTTTTTGCACATCATTGTTTCACAACGAGATCTATCGATTAAAAATATTTTCAATATAGCGGTTCTTCGGGAAATGGCGGAAGTTGACAGCTACATTCTTATATTAAATGGGTGCCCCTATTTTTTGTTACATACTTAAATTCTCTGTAAAATTCTATAAATATTGATGTTAAACACTCTATACTTGGACGAAAAAACTACCTGTCAAAAAAATTTGTATAGCCTAAAAGTCATATTTAGTGATTACCGCAGCCACTGTGACATAATGCTGGCTATCTATTTCAAAAATTAAATTGTTTAAATGTCATATAATAATGGCGGTAGCTGTTATGGAATTGAACGATTAAAAAATGATCATTTTTTCAAATGGAAACCCACTTTTTTTATTTCACTATACAGTGAAAATGTTTTTGAATTCGTTACTTTTTAACTATGCATGTTTCTATACCTAAAATAAATCGTTTTTATGTTATTTAAGATTTAGTTTGAAAACATATTTTTGTTGATTTTATCTAGCTTCCTTTGACATAAAGTGTCAAACAGTCAGACAATTTATTTCCATTTGTCAGAAAACGGATTATTTGAATTTCCTATATTATAAATACTATCTGCTTAAGAGGTTTAAAATGTGTATTTATAAAAATTTATCTCGTATTTTCGCTCTCTATATCACTAAAGAGTGAAAATCTCGTGAAAGTCAAGAAAATGCCCATTTTTGGCTATTGTTCACACATTTTCAAAGGCTTTAGGAAGATAGTAATCATAGTCATAAAATTATGAAAATTTCACTATTTACAGTAAATTTTATGTAGATTCCAAATATATACACCTTTAAACGCTTTAGATATCTTGGTTTTGTGAGAAAATTAATTTTTTGGACCCTTGTTTTTAGCTATTTTTGATAATGGTTAAAATGTCTCCTACATCCATTACTGTTCTTGTAAGACCTATATTTTGTAATGGCCCATATTTTCTTATTCTACGCCTTTCAATTACTAAACTTTGCCCAAAATCGCCAATTTTTGTGTTTAAGTATATGGAAAATATTCGAAAAACTGCCCATTTTAGCCATTTTTTAAAACGTGTACAGAACTCTTAGAAAAATAGTAAAGCGGAAACTTTGAAAATTTCATTATTTGTAGTAAATGATTTTATGTAGTTTTAGAATATATAAACCTTTAAGAGCTTAATCGGCTACTAAAACCTATAACATTTAACATAAAAGGCTTTAAAGGTCCGTATTTTTTTGTATCTACACCTTTGAATTAGGTGGTAAATAACAGTAGATGATATTGATTGAGAACAAAATCAATGACTTCGTCAAAAATCGCCAATTTCCATGGATATTATTTTACCATAGAATTTTACCAAAAGTAATATAGCAATCCTTCAACTTTTCTATTGAACTAGATTGAAAATTAGTATAAGAAATGTAGCAAATATTGTCATATATTTCATCTTCTTCAATCGAAATCGAACACCAAAACATGCAAAAAAATACATACTTTCTGTTCATCTGTCGTAGTTTAGTTTTCAAGGTTGCAAAGTCGGGCCTGTCGTGGGGGTCTTCTGACCAGCATCTTTCTATCAAAGTCGTGATCTCGTCCGATTGTTCACTCACATTTTCACTGGAGACGGTTGGTCTTAAAGGTGATCCATTGTTGGCGTCTGGTCCGCTTCTAATGATCTCAATGATTTCTGAAACAGAAAAATATTTGTCTCTATATATCTCATTTCTCAAAGTATTCCGTACTTTTTGCCCGACTAAGCCCACGGTCACACAGAAAGAGTTTTTTGCGTTTTTAGCGTGCAGCGTCTTTTGCGACTAAAACAAAATAGCAGGATTATATAGGGTGTCCCAGAAATAAGTGCAAATATTTTAACTGTATAAAGAATGCGTCAAAAATTAATGTATAAGGATATTTAAAATTAGCGCTAATCGCGCCGATCTCGCCTATCTCTTTCTCACAGGATTGATTGTTGAACGGGCCGGGAATCCACGAGCTTGCGACGTTACTAATTGACATCTTGATAGAAACTGCAGACCTGCCGCTTCTTTTGCGTTTTTAATGGGCACAAATCGAAAAAACGTTTCAAACGGTAAAATCGCAAAAATCGCTTTACACTCAAAAAACGTAAAACGCTTTCTGTGTGGGCTAAATTAGGTTCCGTTACGATAATGAATTGTAATTAGATATGATATAAGATCCTGGTGTTGATTAAGCAACATTAATCTATCCCGACGCGTTTATCAAAATCCTTTATAACCAACATTAGTTCTGCCTCAGGCATTGCTAGAGAATGTCTTGTTACAATTTACACATGGTTGGAATCCCAATCTCACGAATTGTGACACCGTATCTCAGATATTTCGTAGATTTATCTGGAGTTCAAGAGATTTAAATTCAGCAAATACTGAGGTATAATGTTAATTACGCTCGAGAAAACATGCAATCCATTCTTGCGCAAAAGAGTATCTCTATATTTTAAGGTAAATATTTGCTTGTATATAGTTTCGGTTAAAAAAAATAACGTTTTGATCTTTTATATGTATGAAAAAACGTCTAAAAATCGACCAGTTTGGCTATTTTTTAGACGCATTCAATTCTCTTAGAAAAGAATTGGTCATGAAAGTTTTAAAATTTGAGAATTTGTAGGAATATTTATCTAGATTCAGAATTTAATAAAATTTAAGCGTTTAGATATCTTGGTTTTGTGAGAAAATTACAGTGGCCTATATTTTCTTATTCCACGCCTTTTAGTTAGTAAATAACAGCAGTTTTAACAAAATCGGTGACATGACTAAAATCGCCAATTTTCATGACTAAAAAATGTCCATTTTTGGCTATTTTTTTACTCATTTTCATAGGTCTTAACAAGCTAGTAAATATAGTCCTAATATTATGAAAATATCAGTATTTGTAGGAAATATTATGCAGATTTAGAATATATACGCCTTTGAAGGTACCTTGGCTTTGTGAGAAAATTAATTCCTTGAACCATTTTTTTTTCAGCTATTTTTGATGAAAATTAAAACGTCCCCTATATCTACTACTGTTCTCGCAGGACTAATATGATCTATATTTTCTTATTCTGCACATTTTAATAGCAGTTTTAGCAAAATTAGTGACATGACGAAAATCCCCAATTTTTATGACTATATGTGTGAAAAAAAGTCGAAAAAATGACTATTTTTGGCTATTTTTACACATTTTCAAAGGCCTTAGGAAGATAGTAAGCATAGCCATAATATCATGAAAATTTCAGAATTTGTCGGAAATTTTATGCAGATTTAGAATATATACACCATTAAAGGCTTAGATACCTTGGTTTTGCGAGAAAATTAATTTTAGACCCTTGTTTTTGAGTAATTTTTGATGATTAACTTTGTCAACTCTTCTTGGACCATGAACCTTTTTTTTAAACTAATTTGAATAATGTGACTCGTATGGGTGTAACAATTATTTTATCGCGTCCAGTTGTTGACTAGGAGGAAAAAATCAATAGTGGGAAACTTATAATATTAGCTGTCCTTGTTTTCGTCGGAAACTACGGTTTAAAGAAAATCGGCAATACGATTTAAATGACTAAATGGGCCTTTACAAATCCTTAGACGAGACAAGCCCCAAGAGTTAAAAAATTTAATTAAACCGTCTATATTTGCAAGGGTAAACACACTATTAGATATTTAAATCAAGCTGAGAATATGCAGATCGGTTTTATCGGTCTCTTGCTGGTTGATAAAGTTAACATATTCATTATTTTGGATGTTATTTTGATACTACGTAGGATAAGAACAGGAAAATACGTATGAGGAAATTTGTTTTGCGTATTACGTGTCATTTCTAGAACAGTTTAATATTAATAAGTTTGTGTGTATTATCTATACAGGGTGGCGCCTCTCATAAGACGGGGAGGCTCCAAGGAGAACTATAGTTTGTATTGAAATTAAGGGTGTTCTACAGGGTGTCCCCAAAAAAGATATATAGATTTGATACATTGGTCACATTTAAAAGCAAGTTACTCTTTTATTTTGAATGGACCACCCCGTATTTTATTCCGATATTTAACGGGGAATTCATGTCTCTTCAAAATACTATTAAGGTTGCCTACTCCTCAAACAAATATTTTCCTAGTAGCCAGTGTTTTCAAAACTCGACCAACTATTGTTGACAAGATGAAAAAAGGATTGTGGCTGCTTTTCGAAGTAGAACTTTACATGCCTCTTAACATGAAAACATCTTTTGTAAAGAGTATCAAAAAATTTTATGCACCGAATAGGAATGGAAGAATTTTGAACATTTGATTTTATCTAGCTAATCTTTGATACATGAATTATATGTTTATATCTAGTTTCAATTCTGAAATAATAAAAATATATTTTAACGTGTATCTATCTTTTATTACCGTTGAATATTTTACTCTGCATACATTAATTTTTGTTAAGTATAACTTTTTTTTGGGGTTTTTGATATGTAACTTTTTTTGGGGACACCCTGTAGAACTCTATAGTTTTAAAAAAATGCTCTAAATCAACCTACATATGCTCAGAAAATTTCATTTCAATACAAGCTCTAGTTCTCCTTGCAGCCTCCGTCGTATGAGTGGCGCCACCCTGTATATACATAGATAAAAAAAACTTTGGGAAATAAACTTTGTATCCTATTTTGCATAGTCATGTTTAATGTGTACATTTTTAATTTATTTTGTTACTTAAAACTGTTTTTATATTTAAAAATGTGTATCAATTTTTTTTTCTAAAAAAATATTTTTGTTTTGCAAAGAAAATGCGTATCATGTACTACAAAATTATGTTACAACTAAAGTTATTTACATTTGAAAAAATCCCAAGTTATATTAACAATAAGTAAAGAAACCAGAAGTCTCCTATGTTTGAAAACTTTTTAAAATATGTTTAAAGCAGCAATTATGGTATTTATTTTATTATATTGTATGATGAGTTATAACTCGTGGAAGGAGGACACAATATATTTTTAAGGTCGCAGTGTCTACATTCTACATGGTATATATTTTAAATATACAGGGTGAGTCTTAAATAAGTGTAAATATTTTCTGTGGTTGGTAGATCTCGATAAAAGAAACATTCTCTTTACCGTTTTTCAAATAGGTCCAAAATTACCGAGTTATTTTACTTGTTTTTTTTGTATTATTATTATTAAGAAATAATGGTTTTTAATTATAAATTAAAAAAAAATTTAAAAATTTCCAAATTTTCAAAAATAAAATTCGCAAAAATTTCGTGTTTTTGGGTTCGAAATAAACTGCCCCTAAAAATATTTGCACTTATTTAAGACTCATCTTGTATATTATAAAGTTAGGTTTGTAATAATTTTATATAAATTTAATTTAATATTTTTAAAATTAAATTTATTTTTCTTTTTTTTCTATAATATATTAAAAAATACATAATTTTCTCCAATAACTTAATAAATTATCGTTAGTTATAAAATAATTTAGCTTGTTGGAACCAAAAAGTTGGTTCTAAGATGAAACACACAATGTAAAAGTGTTATTCAATCTTTTTTTATGAAATCTGTCTCATACTCTAATGAATTGTGTTTGAACATAATTCAAAATATTTTTAAAGCGGCAAATATGGTATATTAACTATAATGTTTATATTTTTAATATACTTTATAGAGTTAGGTTTGTAATAATTTTATATAAGTAATAAATTTATATAATTTAATAATATATTAAAAAATACAGTACGTCAGTTATGGAATAGTGAGACGTGGCAAATGAAAACATGTTTTACTTTTTTTTTATAAATATATTTAAATCGAAACATACTAAAATAAATAAATCTATTTTTAAATAAGAATAAAAAATATATTTACTTGTCGGCCCCTCGATGTCGCTTCCTAATAGGTAAGCGAGTATCTGTTTGCATTTCTCACAACTCAATGTGCAAACGGGTCTTTTCACTTCCAACGCAGGACTCAGAGCACGTCGGGGACTCGTAGACGATGACCCGCCAGGACTCGGCGACTGTTCAATCGGTGCCGGCAAATACAAATTCATACTTTTCAAATATTCTTTGGTCGGTTCGTTTGCCCATGCGGCATTCGGTTTTCTTTTAGGCCTGTCTCTCGAATGCGAGGGTCCTGGCTCGTCATCTTCAGAGCTGCCCTCCGACATGCTGCTCTGTCGACTGCCGACTTGCGACTGATACGAACCGAGGAGCGCTTTTGAGCAGGAAGGCCCTACGCCCGCAAAGCTAAACTTTTCGATAATTTAAATGTTAACTCCGGAAAGAGTTTTTTTGTTGCTTAAACGAGTGGTTTACTCTAAAAGCCACCCAGGCAAGAACCTCTGATTAATTCAAAGCTTGTAATTCGTGCTTTTGGGGTTCTTTTGCGAGGGAAATAAAAGCTTAATAAGGTGAGTTTTGTATTCCGCTGTCATAGAGGTTTTCCGCGTAAACTATGCATAAACGCGATGATGAAGTTTAGCTAACATATTTTAGATTAAAATAAAATTTAATTAATATATTATGCCGTGCATAGCCTTTGTAAAGGTTTGTAATGGTTCTGAAATTTCGCTTGTCATCGTGCAGCAGCATACAACACGATGCAGGCTTATTTATTTTTTTAATTATTGTGATTATTTAATTTTTTTTTTCAATTGTAATTAATTTTAATATACACACACCGGAAAAGTCTAGGGATATTACAATTTTATCCAGCCATCGTCAGTAATTTTATTATTTGCATTTCTGATATAATAAAATTAAAATAAACAAATAGTTTACAGGACGTATTGGAAATCAAAATGCGAAATTTGCCGAATTTTTCAAATTTACCTTGATTTTTATTGAACTCAAAAAAATACACACATTTTTGAACTGTGAATTAAAAAAAAAGATAAAACCATTTTTACTTAATAAAGGGTATAGCCTCCTCTACTGTTCATTACAGCCCTACATCGTCTCTCAAAGTTCCTGATCAGGTTGTCGATCTCTTCTTGAGGTACAGCCTGCCACGCTGCATTCACGTCCCGAACCAGATCCCTACGAGACACGACAGGCTCAAGAATTAAATCACGATATGTGATTCCTGTTAGAAACCTTTCAAGAAAAACGAGATCGGTTTTTCGGCCTAACTCGACTCCTCCCCAGACTATAACTGTTCCACCTTGATAAGGGTGCACTTCCTGAACATGATCCAACCGAATAAGATTTACCGGTTCTCTCCATACCCTAAGCCTTCTCGAATCCGGATGAATTCCAAAGCGTGACTCATCTGTGAAGAGAACATTGGCCCATTGTTCATTTGACCACTGAACATGATCTTGAGCCCACAAATATCGTACCTCTCGATTTCCTCTCGTTAAGGGTTGAGCTCTCCAGAGGCGTCTGCTTCTTAAATTGACCTCTCTTAATCTATTGCGAACAGTGTCAGGACTAACGGTTACATTATGTGTTTCCTGGAGAATTAAACTAAGCTCTGGTGCTGTAAGAGTCGGTCGGCGTCGAGCATTTAATTGTTAAAAATGATCTTGCTGAGGGGTAGTAATGCGATGTCGCCCTGTGTGCCTTTCAGCAACATCACCACTTTCACGGTAGCGTGCACTTAATCGCGATATTACACTTTGCGTTGTATTTAATGCTCTAACTACGTCGATTTGGCGCATTCCAGCTTCGAGCATACCCATGGCCCTTAGCATTTCGTCTCTGTTAAGATGTCTACGCTCCATAATGTCGTTACTAAACAGAGTTATTTCAATGAATTCTGGTCAGTTATCATAAAAACATAGCCAGTACAGGTTAAATTCGAACAATTGATGCTAGGTGCTTTTTATACATTTGACAAAAAATGCACAAACACACAAATTTAGAAATAACTAGTGTGACTACTTCATTTCAATCGAAGTAGAAAGAATCGGCCGACAAATATGTGGTTGTTTATTCAAAACATTTATTTTTAACTTTAATAAAATGACATTCCTATATTTTTCCGGTGTGTGTATTTTTCCCAAGTATTATAAAAATTGTATTATTTGATATTTTCTGAATTGTAATTATTTTTAATATTTTGTATTATTTTTCCTAAGTAAAATTATAAGGGAAATAAAAACCACATATTTGTTATAAGTTGCACGCAAGTCACGTTATCCTGTACCTTTTTCTACTGAAGAAAAGACAAAGTTTCGTGGGGAATATTTTCATATTTTTAGAGCTCTACCGAGTGGATTTTCCCTATCCCAGTTTGCCATGACTGAATTAGAAATTCTGTTTTGGCCGCTGCATATTTCACGTCTTAATAAGCAAGTTTGCGTGAAATATTATATAACTTGTCGTTTTAAACTCTTAATTTAGTCAAAATAGATACGATAATAAATTGCCTCAAAATAATTGAAGGTATTTTTCGGTAGAAATTATGCATAAATGGTTTGGAGAAAATTATGGTTTAATAAAATGCCTCGAAAATCGATTCTCCTCAGTATGGTTCAGGTGTTTTCATGTCAATTAAGTATTTGTTAGGGATTCTATGCCTGGAGATTTAATTAGAAAATTATTTTCTTTTGGCGTACCTACCTTTTGGTTCCAAAGAAGTTCCTTTAATGTAAAATACTCCTTCTCTCATGATGATTTCTTGCATTATTATAGCGAAGGAGTACACGTCCCCTTTTTGGCTGCCAGGAGCTGGAGGATTATTCATTCGTAACAATTCGGGAGCCGTCCAAAGAAATCCTGGATCAGAATATTTTAATATTTAACATTAATTTATTAAATGAGCTGTTATTTTTGAACGTGGTATAAGTCCATTTTTTCATGTATCGAGATATTTAAGGTTTTGCATTTGAATTGATTTAAAAGTATTCGTAAACTTTAATGTATTCGAGTGATGTTATTTATATTATACATCTTTTAAATTTTATTATGAAATACTAACTAATTACAGTTCTTAACAAAAAAATAAACGATTTTTTGACTTATTCCACTTTCAAAAATAACATATTACAAGAAATAAAAACGGAGTTAATTTAAGTCCATATTTTTATATACATTAGCTTTACTGAAATTTACGTAAAAAGTAATAATTAAAATGAAGACATTTAAATACACGAATAACCAAGTTTTATTAAAATTAATTTCAGTTATATTAAAAATATAAAAATGAAAATTACTTCGTTAAGATCTTTAAATAAAAAAACATGTTAAACTTTTTTCATTTACATTTAGCATATTGAAGTACCGTATATTGAAAAAAAAACTGATTCCAGTTGGCTTGGAAATGAACATCGATGACATTTGAATGAACATCGATGACATGACAATGAACATCGATGACATGACAATGAACATCGATGACATGACAATGAACATCGATGACAAATTTTGAAGGTCACGTATATACTGATAAATTAAAGATAGCTAATGCGTTAAATGATCATTATTGTACTGTCGCAGAAAAACTAGCGGTTAAAATATCTTCAACAAATAATACCTGTGATATAAACCGTCTGGAAAACAGTCTGTATTTACGTCAAACTTGCGAAGACGAAATAATAAACATAATAAAAAATCTAAAAAATAAAAAAGCTCCTGGTTATGACAATATTAGCTCGGATATTATTAAAATAATTTCGGGAGATATATCAAAGCCTTTAACGTTTTTGATAAATTATTGTATCGAAAGTGGTTGTTTTCCGGACTGTCTTAAAGTAGGTGTAATTAAACCATTATATAAAGGGGGTGATAAGGAGCATATAGGCAATTATAGACCGATATCTATATTATCAGTTTTTTCTAAAATTTTTGAAACAGTTATAAAAAAACGCTTGTTAAAATTCTTTCTAAAATTTAACATAATATCAAAAAATCAATTTGGTTTTTTAGAAGGCAAATCAACACAGGATGCCGTTCATGCATTGACATCATCAATCTATGATGCTCTAGACTCGGGACATCGAAGCCTCTGTATATTCGTAGATCTCGCTAAAGCATTTGATACGGTAAATCACAAAATACTTTTAGACAAATTAGAGAGATATGGAATACGAGGAAACAGCCTTAGTATTTTAAAAAGTTACCTTAAGAACAGATCACAATATGTTAATTTGGGAGATATTAATAGCAAGCCAGGAAGGATTGAGCATGGTGTACCACAAGGCACTGTGTTGGGTCCGTTATTATTTGTTATTTATATTAATGATCTACTTACAATTAATACAAAAGCAGAAATTTTTAGCTACGCAGACGATACAGCGATATTTTATAAATCTAACTCTTGGTCGAATTTGAAAAGATTAGCAGAGGAAGACTTTCAGACAATTAATACCTGGTTTATCAAAAACAAATTAACATTAAACTATGACAAAACCAAATATATATCCTTCTCTATTTATAAAAATAATGAACCAGATTGGGACAGATTACAAATAACCAATAATAATGTAATACCGGAATGTGATTTTATAAAATATTTAGGGGTTACAATCGACAAACATCTTAAATGGAATATTCATATTAATAATGTAACTAAAAAATTGCGAGGATTGTTGCCGAAATTTAATTATTTGAAAAGTTTTTTGGACGTCAAACAGCTTAGAATCCTGTACTCATCCCTTGTACAATCTCATTTGACATATGGAATTCTAGGGTGGGGTGGTGCGGCTGAATGTCATTTAAAGAGCTTGTATTCTGTTCAAAAATGGTTCATAAAAATTATTTACAATAAAAAGAAAACTTTCTCTTCAAACGTTCTCTTTAAGCAGGCGCATCTACTGGATATACGTCAGCTATACTGCCTAGATGTTTTAAAATTCATTTATCAGGGGAAAATATCTATTGAACATGTTGACCATGAATATGAAACTAGACATAAGGCGTTTTATCCTAGTTTATGCTCTAAAACTGTTGGACAAAGATCTTCAAAGTTTTTGCACCTCGATTATATAACATCTTACCAAACTTCCTAAAGGATGTTAAAAGTTACTCTGGTTTTAAAAAAGGGGTATGCAAATGGATGGTTGATCGAGGTAGAGATATATTTAATGACCTAGTTAACTTAAAATATACAAAATAAATTTTCATAAGTGCCAGTGAACATTATTGTCATAATTAAATTGTATTCCTTTCCACATACAAGTAATTCTATTACTTTGTGGTAATTCTTTTAACGTTTATTTTGATTCTTAAAATTGAAATATAGTCTTAGTTAAATTGTACTTAGATAATGTGTATTAGATATAGTAGCATATTATGTTGTATTGTACTGTACTATTTTATATCTGTTTTAATTTCAAGAGAAAATGTTTAATTTCCCATATAATTTTACATACAAAATGACAGTGATCTTCATTTCATATCAGTTGTCTTTATACAAAAAATCGTACTTCATTGAATGTATGATTATAAATATGGCAAGAATGTGTCTATATTTACTGAAATGACCATTAACTAATTTTTTTAAATTGGACTTATACCACTCTCAAAAATAATAATTCATATCTCGTTACTAACTTTTCCAATATTGGTAGGAATTAGCATCTGCTTCGTCACTTTTATCGTTTCCTCTTAAAAAATGCAGACCGAAATCAGATATTTTGAGAACAAATCTGCTATCGACTAGGCAATTGGAGGACTTTAGGGCCCCATGGGATTTAATAGGGCTGCCGTGTAGGTAGTGCATTCCTCTCGTCACATCCATTATTAATGACATTCGGAAGGTCCAATCCAGGTTGTATTCTGGATTTTCTAAGATATCTTGCAAGCTACCTTTTTGGCAATACTCGATTAGCAAACAGTTGTTCGGGCTTTCTATGCAGGCTCCGTAAAATTTCACTAGGTTATCATTCGACAGATCTTTCATCGCTTTTAATTCGATCAGCTGTTGGTGGCTCAGATTGACTTTGACATCTGGCAATTTTTTTATAGCTACTCGTATAGACTTGTAGTATCCTATAGTCGCAAATAATTGCTTGTCTCCTGCTAAACTCATTTCATCGTATTCTTTGATGGTGGTGATAGAATGTAAGCTACTTCTTCGATCTTTAGTCAAAAATGCTATGTCTTCGTAATTTACTTTCCATGATTGGGAATATATTTCGGCTTTCAGTTTGTAATGCCTAAAATATATGATGTAGAATATTTCCTAAATATCACTTTATTAAACTCACCTATAGAATATAATTGATACAATTACTAAACCAAAGAAAATTACGGAAATTAAGCTTATTAATAAAATGTTAACTTTATCGTAAGCTAAAAAAATAACATAATTATCTACATGTGTCTCTATAAAAGGTTATTTTTTGTACTTACTGGGACAGTTTGAGAGATCATATCCACAGACTGGTTTCTCTGGTGGGAACACAAAATTACCTGGATCCCAAAAACCTATTGTTTTATCGACAATCGAATATGTAGCCATTATTTTAGATTTTCCATTGGTCTGAGCTACTAGAGCAAACTTCGATAGCCTTTGTGCGTTGCAGTTTAGGGTCAGGTTCCATCCATTCTCATCTTAAAAACAACTTTTATGTTTTTTTAGTCGTTTCGAACCACAAGACACGCGTCAAGCGTTTTTTTTTAAATAATTTTACTTACTAACATAATGCATTCCACGCAGACGTTGCACTATGTTACAACCTTTAAAATCGCTAGAAGAATTATCGATAATTTCTTTAATAGTGTCTACATACATTATTAAGGCTTCTTGTATGTCGTTGAGGTAATAAAATCCTCGAAATGTATGTTCTTTGATCTCATTAAAATTTGTTTCTCTATATGGATAAAATGTTAAAACAGAATCGAAGCCTTTCTTAGCCATTTCGTTATTATCTGTATCGTTGGCGTCATACCATGGAAGATCAGGCTCACTAGCACTAAAATTATTCAATTAATTAAGAATTAAATAAACTTAATGTGTTTTAAAGAAAATTAAAAAAAAATCTTCTTTGATAGATGGTTATTATTAATTTTGATTAATGTCATATCTTTTGCTGTTAAAGTGTCACATTTTATCATCAACTATTATCACTCTTTCCGTAACATTGCAGTAAATAAATTTTGTGCCTTTTTAATATTTTGGAACAGCAAAAAATATGGTTAATTAAAATTCAATCAATAACGATCTATCAAAGAATGAAAACGAAATTATATTACCATAGAAACGCGATTTTGATTTTTAGGGCTATGAAAAAAATCAACTATATTTTGATGTTTTTTTTTTAATTTTCTCTAAAACGGTAGCGAGATTTGGAAAAGTATAAGCGGGCTTAACCATTTTAGAGCAAGAAAACTTTTTTATGAAGAATGTATTTTCTCAAAAAGTCAATAATACAAAAATGTTCTTTCCTCTTGTAAAGACAATGCGGGGACATACTGTATAAACAAACGTGTCTTACTTATTATACAGGGCGAAGTTAAAAAATATATATTCATTTCGATCCATCATACCCAATTTTGCAGCCTCTATGACAACTTTTCTTATTTTACTGTGGCTAGCACATGATAGTATTACTGAAAAAAAATTATTGATGAATTTTTTCTTAAATTAAAACTGAAATCAGCTGTTTACCTCCATATTTGACACCAATACTTTCTTTTAAGAGATCACTATAGCTGTTTGGGTCACTACTATTGATATTACTTAAGTCTTTACTCTCATAATTATAACCAACAAATTCTGTATACACTAAAGTGGACATTGTCAAGTAACATGCATTCTCTCCACCTATTTCATAAAAGTCTCCTTTTTCATACAATAGGAGGAACGACTTCCATTCGTACCTACAATTTACTCATTGGATTTTGTTTCGAATTGCTAAAAACTATTGCTTACGTACTTAGTAAATATTATTCGTAAAAATTCAGCAAAAGATCTATAGTCTGCTTGGCCAATATTGATTAAATGATAAAATTCGTTACTCATAGATATTTTTTCGGCGGTGAAATCGTAAGTAAATGCTGATGGTGCTAAAAGGGGCACTCCTGCATTTCCTAAATACTTACTAATTCTTGCTACGCCAGCTACAAATGTCAGTCAGTTTGAGATTTTATATTTTTATATTCAAAACTAACAGAAAACAAAATATTTCTAGAATCTTTTGGAGAATAATAATTAGTATTTATTTTAATTAATTTACCAGTAATATAATTCATCTAATGTAGATTATTATCTATTTTCATTAGCATAAGGTTAGTAAGGTAATATAATAGATTGTGTCCCTATATAACATTTATTAAAATACTACAAAGATTGATGATAAGGTAAGTCTAGTAAACAGATATAATTAAAAGCTAACAGAGAACGTAATATGCATATTAATATTAAACGTATAACAGTTAGGCACTCAATTATCTTATTTTCTGTTATTTTCATCTTTAAAATTAAATATAGTGTTTTAATAATTTAAAGTTCTAACCAATTGGATAATCACACGGAATCCCAATGATAACATGCGGACACCATTCTGTTATGTCTATAATCTTTCCTAACACTATTTCTTGACTACATTTATCGTCAATAGCCTTAATTTCATAATCTAAATTGATTCCTGTTAACGTTTCATCCACCAATTTGCTTACCTGAAATATATATTTTGCTTAATATTTTTTTCTGTTTTTTTCTTCTTTTCGAAAAATCTATAATATATCCAGCCAAGTACCGTACAGGATGGGCCACTGAAAACTTACAATGGCTATATTTTTAAACCAAAAAAGATATCAAAAAAATAAAAAACACCGTTTCTATTTTCTATAATATCGAGGGGGAATACATATGACGTATTTTTTGAACCAACCCGACCTACCCCTAAGGCGGCACCACTACTCACTTGAAAATCTTAAGTGGCTTAAAACACCCCACTTGTGGCGCCTTTTTGGAAAGCCCATGAAAAATGCTAAACGATGATCATAAAGTTTTTAGGGTGAAATTGAAAAACCACCCCTTACACGAAAAATTAGGTGGACATTAATGAGAAAAGTGATTTTTTCAGCATAAGTTACAAATTGGGACCCAGCTAAATGAGGTTTTTTTCAAACTACCCCGACTCACCCCTAGGTGCCACCCCCTCACTTCTAACCTCAAGATAGCGATACCCCACTTGTGACATCTCTTTGGAAAGCGTACAAAAATGCTGAACGACTGTCATAAAAAAGAACGATAAAAATAGAGCCTAAGAATAAAAAAAAATGTCAAAACGTGTCAAAATGAATAGAATGAATTATTTTTGTATTCATTGAACCATTGCGAGAAAAAAAAGCTGGTACAAAGAAATTTATTATAACTCTTAATGAAGACCTCATACACTTTCAGCAAGATGGAGCCCCTTCGCATTATTCTATTGTCACAAGGCAATGGATTGGCAGAAGGTGTCTAATCGAGTGGCCGCCAAGGTCACCTGATCTCACTCCTTTAGACTTTTCCTTGTGGGGTTACAACTAAATCCATAGTCTACAAGACAAAACCAGGTTCGTTGCAAGAATTGCGGCAGAGGAGAACTGAAGCATGTCGAAATATTCCGAGAGAGACTTTCCAAAAAGTGAGAGAAGAATTTGAAAATCGTTTGTATTTTTGTATGGAACAAAACGGCTGTCATTTTGACCAATTATTAAAATAAATTATCATTTTAAATTTCTTTCAAATTGTCCCACCTACATTTCTTGTCACTAACCAGTAATTAAGTCTGTATGACCATCGTTTAGCAATTTCAATTAGCTTTCCAAAGAAGTGTCACAAGTGGGGTATCGCTATCTTGAGATTAGAAGTGAGGGGGTGCCACCTAGGGGTGGGTTGGGGTGGTTTGAAAAATACTTCATTTGCGTCATTTAGCTGGGTCCCAATTTGTAACTTATGCTGAAAAAATCACCTTTTTCATTAATGTCCACCTAATTGTTCGTGTAAGGGTAGTTTTTCAATTTCACCCTAAAAACTTATGATCATCATTTAGCATTTTTCATGAGCTTTCCAAAAAGACGCCACAAGTGGGGTGTTGCCATTTAAGATTTTCAAGTGAGTAGGGGTGCCTCCTAAGGGGTAGGTCGGGGTGGTTCAAAAAATATTTAGTATTCAGTATTTTTTATTTTTTTGATATCTTTTTTGGTTTAAAAATTATAGCCATTGTAAGTTTTCAGTGGCCCACTCTGTATATCTTTAATAAATAGTACTGAGTCTGGGTTTTTGTGAAACATCGTTGAAATATTAGTATTTTAATAAAACACGCTTTTAGATGTATCAAATTTAATGAGACTAACCTTATCTATATATATATATATATATGATATTTTCTGTATTTGGTCAACCTTATTAAACTCAATCATCCTGAGAATACCAATTTAACTATTGAAATTTTTCAATTTTCTTGACATTAGAATTATAAAACAGTGTAATAGATTACAATTTACAGACACTGTAACACACAGTGTAAATCACACCAATCCTGGCAAAGTAAAATAACACCCTTTCATAGTTTAATTCATAGATTAGTAATCTTTCCACTGAGCTCAGGGAATTAAAAAAAAAAGAGGTAAATATTATTAAACAAATCGCCATTAACAATGAATATAAGCGTTAAAGAGAAAACAAAAGAAAACTTTAATGAAAATTGTTTATTCCTCTAATTCTAAAGACAATAGTCAATTATCGACCATTAAATTACATTCCTAATTTAACTAACAAAATATCAAATAATCTCAATCAAAACTAGGATTGTCAACTTTAAAATAAAAAAACGACGAGAGATTAAAAAAGAGGCACAGGCGATACATTTTTTGAAAGCTCGCCCAAATGTCTAGATTTCCGAAAAAGTTATGTAAATGGTATGCGTCTGACGGTTTTTCTTATTTTTTTTTAAATATTTATACTCAAAAGTTGTTAAAACAAACCATTTACAACAAAACTTTTTGTTTCAAAACATAATAAGTAAAATAAAATATATCTGAAAGTAATTATCTGAGAGTAATCAATTTTTTTTTGCTAAATATGAAAATTTTTAATCAATAAACACTAAAACTGCATATTTCGAATTTTTCACTTTTCAAAGATTTAAAATATATGAATTATTGAATTGAAAAAAAAATACTCTCAGATTGATTTTTTAGTAAATTTTATGCTCTATAATAATCCGCGATGTAATTAGACGATTAGTTTTAAAAAACTCTTTTAAAGATACATCTAAAGAACGTTTTATTAAAATAATAATACCACATATTTATTTTATTAATATAGAATTCTTAGAATGCAATATGTTCAAGTTTTTTAAACTTTTCTTGCCAAATTTTTCGAAAAACTGTTATAAAACAGAAATGATTATATTTTAAGTTATCAAATTGAATAAAATATTAGGAAACTGGAATATATCCTAAATAATAAAATTATAGGTAAAAATCACTATAAATACAAATGTTTGTTGAGTCTCAAGTGCTTCCACATTTATTTTAATATTTTAAAAGATTAGATATCATTAATTGAAATTGATTACCACTATTTTTAGAATACATCTATAGTTATAATGAAAAATAGCGAAAATGATTCTGTCATGAGACACATGACGAATATGTGCAATGCGATTTAATTAATCAGATTTATATTTTTTCTCCACCTTTGTCAACAAAAAAAAATTACAACAGGCATACATAATAATTTCGGAGGTGATTATTTCGATGTATATTTCATCAAAAAGATTAATTAAAAATGTGCAGATCCGTTAAAAACAACAATTCACGGCACTTTTCAAAAACAAGATTTAATTTTAAAAATGTGTAGGTAGTTGTTGCGATGAAATATATTGATTGTAACTGTAGATAAAATAATAACTAACTCGCTCGTCCATTAAAATGTTTTATAAATTTTCCATTTAATTAATCAAATTACTTTCTATAAATATTTACTAATTGGTCCTGGTTATATTTTAAACCAATGAATATTATAAGTATCAGCGGCTCGTTCTAACTAAACAACGTTTTGAGCTAGTGCACTTTCCGATTCAGTCAACAAAGGAACTGTTATCAACCGAGGATAAACAAAAAAAAAATATATTTACCCTGTTTAAATTTAAAATGTATTGACTGCTGTTAGGAAATGACACTACGATGTTGAGCTTACAGACGTCCTCGTTGCATATCTTGCATTTTTCCTCGGTGACAGCCTTGCATCTGGTTTCCGCCGGTACCACCGAGCAGTTCTCAGTAGGCCACGGTTTGATTTGGAGCACAGCATCGTTGAAGCCGAAATCAGAAGAAGAGACAGACGAAAGACTTAGAAGAATCATAGTTGCTTCCAGTATCATTACTAGCCTATGCCATATATGTCACGACAATGACATTATATAGCAACACTTCCACACGTAGCTCATTTTACAGAGATCTTCGATATACTGGCTTGATAGGTGAATGATAGCAAATATTGATAGCACCTCCCGCGCAGTGATAGACAACGATAACATTTTTTTGCAGGACTGGACTTCTCTAAGGCTATTAGAATTATTACGGCGAGCACTAAGATTGCCTCCGCTCATTTCTTGGCAATATGGCCTAAGCTCGCTGCTTACTTAAAGGAATAAAGATATAAATTTAGATTATGTATTTTTAAACTTGGGAAACGAACGTTAGATTCGAGTGTTTTGCCATTGGCGTACCGAACACAATATATGACCCAATTTATTTGATAAGAATATAATCAGCGTTATTTAATCAATTGATTTTCTGACTTTCATTTTTGATTTTAGTATTGGTATCGGTAAAAATATTTTACCTACATAATATACAGGGTGGTCCGAATTGTATTCGTGAGAGTATATTTTGCAGATAAAAACCAGTAAAATCTATACTAATATATAAAATCCTTATGTGACTGACATACCGATTAATCACGATCCTGCTCAAACCACTCAACGTAAGAAGCTCAATTTTGGCATACAGGTTGATTCTAGGGTGTAGAGGTTCGATAAGAAGGGATTTTTTGAAATTCCAGTTCCAAGAGGGTGAAACCACCCCTCAAATTTTACAATATTTTTTATTTAAAAAACGGTTACGTTTCCGAAAAAACGCATAAACACGTATATTTTATTTTGTTTGTTTACATATTTTAAGATTTTTTAAAAATGTGTACAGGGTGTTTCGAAAAATCTGGTCATTGATTAATCACGATCCTGCTTAAAGCGCTTGACGTAAAAAGCTGATTTCTGGGAAACAGATTGACTTTAGGGTGTAGAGGTTCGTTAAGAAGGGATTTTTCGAAACTCGAATTCTAAGGGGGTGAAACTATCCTTCAAATATTAAAATATTTTTTATTTAAAAACCGGTGAGTTTTTCGGAAAAACTCTTAAACACGTATATTTTATTTTGTTGTTTTACATATTTTAAGACTTTTTATAAATTTATACAGTGTGTTTCATAAAATATGACCATTGAGTAATCACGATTCTGCTTAAACTGCTTGACGTTTAAAGCTGATTTTTGGTAAACAGATTGACTGTGGGGTGTAGAGGTTCGATAAGGAGGCGTTTCTCGAATCTCAAATTCCAAGAGGGTGAAAACGCCCCTCAAATATTACAATATTTGTTATTTAAAAAAAAGTTAGTCTTTCGGGAAAACGCTTGGACAAGCATAATTTATTTGGTTTCTTTACATATTTTGAAATTTTTTAAAAAATCATACAGGATGTTCCAAAAAGTTGGGTAATTGATTAACCACGATTCTGCTTAAACTACTTGACGTAAAAAGCTTATTTTTGGCAAACGGATTTTTCGAAAGTCAAATTCCAACGAGATGAAACTACCCCTCAGATATTACCAAGTTATATAATAATATCGCCATATTGTTTTTTCTCATGCTGACATAAATGTATGTTAATGGAAATTCTTGCTTTATCATCACCATTACAAATGATTAATACGACGCGAACGAAGTCGCTGGTACACGCTAGTAGTTTGTATAAATGTATGTCCTGGAAATGCTTCGTTTCGGAGATACAGGGTGTAGAAGTTTTATTTTTATTTGTTTTTTTTTCCAAATAAATTTTGAGCTAACCTTAATATTTGGATAAAAGTTGGTGTCTGGGGGTGTTTTTTGACGTGGGAAATTCCATTTCGATGTTAGTATGACTTATAGGGGGCGCCATTTACATTTTATTTAGCTGTTTTGAAGAGTAATAACTTTTCGTCCTCAACTGTATTATACTGCTTAACGAAAAAAGTGAAAAAATATACATTTTCTTTATTTTTATCAAAAAAGGTTTCTTGGTATTTTGGAACGAAATAGTCAAAACATGTCATAATTGACAAAAATTATATGTTGACTGGATAGTTATTAGTCTGAAATAATAAATTTGAAATGGTTTTGATATAGAAGCTGTGTAGATATAATTGAGTGCTATTACTAAACATGTCTGATTCTTTGTACTGTTTCATATTTATTTTTAAGATTTTACACTATTTTATTTTATCTCCTAGGTACATAAAGGTTTAAACCTTTTTTATATTGACACTGCGGTTTTGTTCAGGAACTTCAAAATGTTTAAAGAGGCATATTAGTTAGCAAAATTCTGTATATTTTAGCATTTCATCTCAGTCGGCAAAAATACGAATATAAACGAGGCATAGGTATTGGGTCATTTTTTTTTATTTACTTTACAAGTAAATTGCCAATTATGGAGCATCGAAAGGTTTAAATGCTTTTTGAATTTATTTTGCCGCGTCATATGTTATAGGTACATATTACTCTAGGCTTTCATATAAAGTATATATCTAACATTTAAAGTATTTAAGATTATTTTTGGTGAGCTTTTTTGTGATTTTTTTTTATCTATGAAACGACTATGCCTATTTCAATATTTTTTTTTCGCGGTTTTTGAAAGGAGCATGCAAATACGCCATTAAAAATCTGTTTATAGATCTTTCAAATTCAATCTTGAATATATCTAAGATTGATGTTAAAGTAATTTAATATAAATATTCACGCGCTCGTGTAATCAACCATCCCGGCTTCTCTAAACCTAAACATTCGTTTTTATAGTTATTTCTAGATACATTTACAGTTTTCGAAATATAATTTAAAGAAAAAAAACGTATGCAAACAAAGCACGTACGTTTCTCTATTTTATATTTTTTTGTAGTTATTTCCAATTCCGGTTCTGAATAGTAATAATAAAGTTATGGTATAGTAATTATAGAACTATACAATGATAACAAGATAAAGTTAATGAAAATATGGAAATTAATAATAATTATTAAATCCTGGCAGGTGAAACGTATCAGATATTTGTTATTTCTAACAAATATACAGGGTGATTCAAGGCCATGGTACGTTAGACGTTTATGGAGAACTGACGACAGGAATTTTTTAAAAATTTGAATTTTTGAGACCAAAAAAAATATATTTCCGTTATAAAATCGCTCAAATCATTTTTATTTTAAATCCAAGCTCATATATCGTCGGCTTTATGACGAAAAGGCGTATTTCGATTTTTGCTACTTTTCAGGAGAGCAATTTAAAGAAAATCACTTACTTTATTTGGCCAATAAATGTAAAGTCTTTAATTTTTTAATAGCGTTTTTTGTATTAACACTTAAACGGAGACATTGGGGAAACGTTCTGAAGATAAATTGAGCGTAAATTCTAATAAATAATTTATTTTCAGTTGTTTAATAGAGATAGGCCTTTTTGTTATAATAATAATAAATTTATTTCCGAACGAATAGTATACATACGCTCATGTAAAATAAATTTAAAAACGACGGTAAAGTGTTCTTAATAAGAAAAAAAAATGATACAATATTCACATTATGGAATAATTACAAGAAAATACAATACATACATACAAGAAAAAATCTGAAAATCGCCAAAAAAATCAGAAACAAATATTTTTAAATACTTTTATTCGCGTTGGATTAGATCAACTGAAAACAAAGACAATTTTCATGCCAGAAGCAAAGACAATAATCAATTAAAATACTATTATAATATTGCTTATTTTACAAAATGCATTGTTTAACTAATATATTTTTGCATTTTTAGTTAATTGAGGGCATTAATACAGGGCATTGAAACTCAGGTCCATATAATAAAAACCAAACTAAACAAAAACAAAACATGTTTCTTCATTCGTTTTTTTTTATACAAATAACTGTGGAGTAACAGTTTCTGTTTTCCCTGTTCAATGATAACAAATTCGACTTCCATTCTACGTGTTTATGCTGGATGATGATCGGCAAAATAAATAAAATTTTCCAAAAATTGGTAGGGATGACAATGCCAATGGCCTGACAATGATAATGAGATGAAAATTATTGTTTTTCGGGCAAGTTTTTGGTTCGCTAAAATGTTCTTAGAGAAATTATGATTTCGGGAAATTTTCCATTCGAGCAATTTTCGTTTCGTTGTTTTGCTTTCGATCAAGCTATGTGCAGAGTCTAGCTCATTCTAACAATGGTTTTTGGCAAAAAAATAGACTCTAAAATCACACTGTAAAAGAGAGCTGCTGCCATGATAGAAGTTTTATTTTGTCCCAAGCAACCGTCAGAAAATAATTAGGTAGAATGGTGTTATTTTCTGTCGCATGCATTTTCATAACTTAAAACAAAAGGACCTATCTCAAATTCCATCTTTCTTGTAGTATAACAATTGGTGTAACAATAATTGATATAACAAAGAGTCCTATCTCAACATACGTCTCTTCGTCATAACGAAGAATTGTAGTATTTGAGATGGGACAAATTTTTAAACTAATATAAAATGAAAAAGGTACAATATTGAGATGCGCAAATTCGCTATGTTAAAATATGACCCATTGGGCATGTCATGACGTTGATATCTCAAAATCGCCAAAAATCGAGATACGCCTTTTCGTCATAAAGCCGAAAAAATTTAAATATAAATAAAACTGCTTTTCAACGATCATCATGTTCATATACAAAAATCTTCTGGTTTCTAGGTATAGGAACAGGAAATTTCGTTGAAAAGCTATTTTATTAGTCTTGATTTTTTAATCGTCGTTTTTATGCAAAAACTTTCGAAAACGTATAAATTTAATGCTGAATGGACAAAAAACACTTAAATTTAAAAAAGTCTTGAAGTAAATGAGCACTCTAAATAAGTACATCAGATTTTTAATGTATTTGTATATTTATGTCAAGTGTGTCTGTAACAATGGAAATGTTTTCAAAGAGTAAAACGATTCTATATAATATATGATGCAGTAAAATATACAAGTGAAGTGGATTAGCTGTTTAAACACTCTGTATATTTATAAATCGAACTATTACACCCACGTAAACTTCCATTATCAATTAATATGGAATATTAGAGGGGAATTTTTGTATATCAGCTGCCTAATGTTAAATAACTGCCAACTGTATGAAATAGGAGATTGAATTATTCGCTTCTGTAATGACAAAGTGCTTCTGCTTATCTCTAGTGAGCAGTGAAAGCTTCTGACTTATCCATTATATTGCTAATAATAATCAATTTTGTTTTGATTGCCTCCATTTCGATTTTGCCAATAAAATTGTAATTTGTTTTTATATATCTACAATCTACATGTTCTGTTAATATAAATCAATATTAAAATAAATACAATATATTAAAATGATTGATGTTACATTAAGTTAATTTAATATTTTAATTTTTTTGGACATAAAATTATATGTATGGAAAAAAGTTGAAAATGGCAAGTTTTGGCTATTTTTTACACATTTTCAAAGGCCTGAGAAAGATAGTAGTCATAGTGATAAAATTATGAAAATTTCAGTATTTGTAGAAAATTTGATGTAGATTCAAAATATATACTCCTTTAAAGGTTTAGATATCTCGGTTTTCTGGGAAAATTAATTTTTTGTTTAAAGCTATTTTTGATAATGGTTAAAATGTCTCCTACATCCATTACGTTTCTCGTAAGACTACAATGGCCTATATTTTCTTATTCTAAGCCTTTTATTTAGTAAATAGCAGCAGTTTGATCAAAATCGGTGCCATGACGAAAATCGCCAATTTTCACGATATTTTTCAAAAGGTTTTAGAAAGATTGTAAGCCATAAAATTATCAAAATTTCAGCATTTGTAGGAAATATTATGTAGATTCAGAATATATACACCTTTAAAGGCTTAGATATTTCGGTTTTGTAGAAAAATTAATTTTTTGGACTTTTGTTTTGAGCTATTTTTGATGATTTTACCAGTTTTATAATCTAGATGGCATTGCCTTAATTTTCGGTCGATGGATATCGTCCAGAAGAGTAGTTAGGGAGGTTTGGTATAGATGGGGCTGTTTAGTTAATCAATATCAAATCTATATGGGTTAATAAATATCTCTTTTATACGTATATGATCAATATTAGACTAGAATTTACTACGAGTGTATTGTTTTCCAATAGATGTCAGTTATTTTACCTGTATTTGTACAGAAAATTTCAAAATATCGACGACACAAAATCGTTATTTTTTAAATTTAATACCAGCACTATATAACTGACATAATAGTAAGAAATATTATACCTAATATAAAGTATAGTATAAATTTATTTGAAATATTCATTTATTTTATTTATGGTGGAGGTAAATAAAACAATTAGTTTGTGCTATTTAAATGCCCTTGTATTCTCTTCAACTACAGTAGTTTAACACAGGAAAATACAGCACAGATATGAAAGCCACAGATACTAAGAACTCTCTTGAAAACTATGACACTTCTCTATATCCAATCCTGAGCTTAAAAGTTTTTTAAAAATTAACTGAATGATGCCCAGGTTTTCATGAGAGTTAATTATCAGATTCTGGCAGTCTGAATACAGTTTTATAGCTGGATACAGCCAATGCCCATCCCATATTGTTACCTATTAATTATTTAATATTTTAATGCAATATGTATGAATAACACTAATGGAGTTAGACAATTGGGGACATGTTTTTGGTATTTTGACGAAATTCCTTTCTGGGCATTGTTATGGAAGCACATAGCAAGCATATTTTTTTTAATAGACATCACATATAAACTATGTCCAGCCAAAGCCATAAGGAACACATAGTAACAGTTTATTTTTCTAAAGTATCACTAAATAATAATTTCTGCCATACAACTTTGCGTATGTACTATTTACATCACAGAAAAATATTAACTGTGGTATAAATGGAACATATGCGTATTATAACATCTGCTAAATATACATTCAGTAATATAACATGAAGTGTAAATATTGAATATATCTTTGCTATACCAACCGCAGGTTTCACACAAATTAAGAGGTTAGGTAGTCAAAAGAACCAGCCAACATTGTTTCAAGCTTAGTTATTAGAATGTTAAGAACTTTATTTGAATTTGGATAGGTTTTATAAGTTCCTTTGGGCCAAACCTCATAAAATCTACTGTAACGTCACTTAAAGACAAGCGTATATATTGTATGTAAGTATCTACAATAACTTTACGTCTAGCAGTTGTTAGTTGACTTTGAAATCTGCATCTTAAGGCACATGGAGAAGGTAGTGTATCAGCTTACGTGGATAATTTCATTAGAGGAGACTTTTTGCGGTTGATATAGTTGCAAATATAACAAAAAGAGGACAATATAGTTTTATCTATATATTTTTAAAGTAAAGCTATAATTTGTCTTCTGAACAATTATTGTCATTGATTTAAGGACCTACATGATATTGTCTTTTTTTATATAATACTATACTGGTATTGTCTAAAATATATTGTCAAGATACTATATCACTTTCGGTATATAAACCATCCACATGCATGTAGGTCTAAAATATCATATATTTTTTTAATTACTACTGATAATCATTCAGCATTAACAACCAAAAGAATACTTATATAGTTAATTTAATATTGACTTAAGATCTTGATTTTTTTTTCAATTTTATCTTCACAACGAATTTGTATATATGTTTATATTTTCAGTATCCACTAATTATATTGTCAAAATGAAAATTCAGTCTTGCATTATTTTACTCTAAAGTTTATTTAAAAATCTGATTTTCAATAATTAGTAATATAAATTGATCACCTATTTTATTTATTACACAGAAAAAAATCTATTTCAAAGATAATGTTTTTTTCTGTGTACTCGTATAAAAATGTGTTTTATATTATTTTAATTTTAGAATACTATTAATTGTAAGAAAAGTATCTGTACTGAAACATGTATAACCTACGTTTTTATTACCAGATTGAGCTTAATATTTCATTACGATATGTAGTAATGTAATATTACATTTGTATATGTGAAGGTCATTCTTTTGGATATTAATGATATATTGTTGTTTTTTGATTGTTTTATCAATTAACTATTTTTTATTATAACACCACAGTCAAGATATTTGTTTGCTCTAACAACGCAACAAGCTAAACATTTTTAAACAGCGCGCTACAATTTTACTTTTACATTTAAGAACACCCTGTAGAAAATGAATTGGAAATAAAGGATTTCTCGTATAAAACTGTTATTTTTTACGTTTGATTGACATGGGTCTGATTTTGTATAGGCGTTTCAAAAACATAGAACAACTTTAAATGATTTATTTCTGTAAACTAATATCTTACCGTTTTCTAGATTTTTTTTTTAGATTAGGTAGATAACATTGTAATAAATATCTATAGAAAACTATTACTTTTTTCCTAGAAGGTATAAATATTTAATGTAAAGCGAATTCAAGGACTTTGAAGATTTATTTTACCCCCTAATTACTTATTCTATACTATATTTTCTAAATTTTAAACTTCCGCAAGTATATAATATATATATTTTTTAATTTTCTTTAACAGAGTTATCAAACAAAATAAAACTTACTGATGTATTTTATTTTTTCAAAGTCCTTAAACTAGTGAAAAATTCTCTTAACTTAGGTAAAACAAACACCTCTTTATTATTTAAATTTAAATTTATATCATATATCGGCCGAACATTTGATTTTATTTAACGTTATATTTTCGTAACTTTTCTAACAATGCCGAACAACATGATTATTGAACGATAAATTAAAATGTATATAACATGTTAAAACATCGTTTATTAATGACGCATAAATTAAATTTATCGGTTTAATTTAAACATTTTTGCGTGTCCGGGTGTGTTGGTATTAATTTGATCAATTAAAATAAAAAAATATATTTATAAAATTAATTTTCTATATTTTTTATTAATAAGTTATTTGTAATTTTGAGAGACGAGAAATAAATAAAGAGGTATCAGTTTAGAGAAGCTTTTAGTTATTTTTTGAGCGTTTTTCACGGTTGTATATTAAAAGAGTATAAATGAGAGATCACATTAATAGCGGTTCCATTCGAACACTAAAATTGTCACAATATATCACTATTTAGGGGCCAAACTATAAATTGTGCGTAGCCTGAACTCTGGCAGGGTATTTTCTACATATTTAGTCTATTTGTCAAAAATTTTAAGAGCTACAAATATTTTTTTTGTATTTTTTTACTGTATTAGTAACGGATAAATACGATTTTTTTCTTAATATGTATATAATATAGTTCTGGATATGTCGTAGCAAAATAAAAAGATATGTAACATCATATTATAGGGGCTACCCTATTTTTTTTTATCTACTCAGTGGCTACTACCATATATTTCACACCACACAATACATATATACTTAAATTTTTGACAAATGCTTCGTCCACTAACAGAAATGTATATAGATTATCCTTACCACAAATATAATATTATAAATGCCTATCGATCATGATAAACTTGTTTTCTTGTAAATGTATTGTAGAAAACCATGGTTTTTTACCTTGTATAATTTGTACCAATCATTCTTTGTCGTTATTGTCATAGTTATGTTATTTTTTTGTCATTCCTTATTCAGAGTATTGCCGTAGTTGTGCGTGTATCCAATCGACGTATTTGGGGACGTAGGCATAAACGCCAGGTAAGTGCGGATGGGCGCATTTTATCCCCCAGCTGACTATTCCGCCGACAAACCAACGATCCGGATCATCTTTTTCCTTGCAAAGCAAAGGCCCACCTGAATCTCCCTAGGAAAATAATAAAAACCAGTTTTTTTCTCGTTTTATACACTCACATGCAAAAAAACGGAACGGAGAAAATTTTGGTCAAATTTAAGTTTTATATTTTTGCCATTTTTAGTAGTAGTGGGAACTATCGAATGAATACTATCGAAACATTCGATAGTTGCAATTCATTCGAATAATTCGATAGCTAGTAAGAGAACATTCGTTGAAAACTATTCGAATGAAAATTATCGAATAGATGCGTCATCTGCTTTGAAATATTGTATTCTAATAATTCGGCAGCAAAAACCATTCATTTATAAAATTCATTCATTTATGAAATTCATTTATTCGCCAGGATCGATTATAATAAAATATTAACTGGATTTTGATTTTAGTTGTCGCCCGGCGACGTAGGTTTCTTTCCGAGAAACCCGACAGCGGTCGGTGGCAATGCTATGAAAGAAGCCGGCATCTTTGATTTTTTGCGGCGTCATATAAAGATAAGGACACATTATTTTTTTTATTGGGGTGCTAGTATGTAAACAGAAAATACATTATGAAGGGCGCTGTTGCCATATATTGGTATTAGTTGACATTAGCAAAGAATATTATTGTTTGGCTTTAGTTAGTTAGGGATAGTATGTCTATATATTTTGCATTTTTTTTATTAATATTCTGTTGTTACACTGCAATAATACTTGCTATTTTGGATATAGGAAAATTATTTTTAATGTTTTTAAGCAAAGACTGGTTTAATAAAAATAATAATAATAGTAATAATTTGTTATACCTTAACATTAACAACAAAATTTAAAATAATTTAAAATAAACATTTTTTTTACGTAGTAGCAAAATATAAACAACAAATTAGATGTCAAAATTATTTATATTAAATCCTATTTAAAAATAATATAGTCTTTAAATTTTTTGGCAACGGTGGCTTATTAAATAATAATAATTACAGAACTAATTTCTTATATTAACAACAAACTTTAAAATCATGAAATATAAACATTTATTAATTTTCTAAGCATGCAGTGTAATGGAAGGAAAATATAAATAAAAAAATAGAAATAAAAATTATTTATATTAGGTACTTTATATTACTATTTAAAAATAATATTTACTTTTACTGGCATTTACTTTAAAAAATAAATGAAAAATTTCTTCGCAAAAAACTACATGTAAGAGAATTAGCATAAACAAAATACAAACATCGTTAACGTTTTTTTAAATTGGCACATGTAAAACTTTCAATTGAATTTTCTCACCCCATAGTTTGAGTTCGATAACCATTTACTTAACCACATTACTTAAATATCATTATTAAGTTCAACTAATTCATATTATTAAAACATCTAAAATACAAATATGTATTTTTAAAATTAATTCTAAGTTCATCTCATTTCTCTTAAAAATTGCTACTTCTCAAAATTTCCCATTAAAAAATAGATCATATACCATATAAAATAAAATAATTGAAAGATCGGGCTACGGAAAATTACACAAATTTTCGGAAAAATTTTGACACCTGCACACGCACACAATCGTCAATAAAAAAACCTACTATTTTAGTATTTTAAATATTTTAATAAACGCAAAAATAGCACAGTATTTATAAGGCGAAGTTATAAAAATTTGGAAGAACAAATAATGCACTGACGCACACAAAAATTAAACGAATATTAAATTTCATTTATCAAAAGCATTCGATAGTCGTGGCTCAACGATAACCATTTAGTCGCACGGCGAGGTTGTCACATATGCTTTAGTATACAAATGAATGAATGATTTTATTCGAATAAAACCATTCGATAGTTGAAATCATTCATTCAGTAACCATTCGATAGTCTAATTCATTCGATAGTTCCCATCGCTAATTTTTAGCTTTATTTTCATGAATATTTTAGCAAGCTGTATATAATTATCATCATTATCAACTTTAATTCGTAAACTCAGTTTTTTATAAACTTTAGTATTTGGCATATTATACAGGGATAATCAGGGGTTGTTTTTTTGTCTTAACTTTAAAACACCCTGTGCAATAATTTCGTGTGTAAATTTTCCTAAAATATAATTTTAAGGTGAGACTCCTGAGCAGCTTTTTAACAGCGAATTGAACTGATCACGACCAATTTGCAATTTTTTCAATTATCATTACTTTTTGATGTAATTTTTTAGTATGACGAGATGGTTTTGGTGATTATTGTCGTAACGTTATATTACGCTGCATTGGATACTCTATACTAAATTTAAAAAGAACGTTAAAAACTAACGATACAGTCCGGGTTTTAATAAACAATAACAGAACTAACGATATTAAAGAAAACATCTGTAACACTCAAGTACACAAACAGAAAAAAGAAACTGTAAAAAATACCCTAATACTTTGTATTGCCTCCCTTGGCTGCTATAACTGCCTGTATACGTTCGTTTATATAGTTATCGAAGCTGCATATATCATATTGCGTTATGTTTTCCCATTTTTCTTTAAGGACCAAGCGAATTTCATTTAATGAAGCTGGTACCGCTTAGCGACCTCTAACCGTCCTGCCAAGCATTTCCCAAACGTCGAACATGATGAGCAGTTCATAGTTCACAATAATCACCATAGCCGTCTTGTCATATTGAAAAATAACTTCAAAAATAAATGATAATTATCATTTATTTTCATGAATTAATAATTTTATCAATTATAATTGAAAAAATTGCAAATTGTTGGTGGCAAATTCATTTCGCTCTTAAAAATTAACCAAGGCATGTATTGACCTGATCCATAAAACCAAATGCTTTAGAATTTTTTTTAGAATTTAGAATGAGTGGGAGGGGGGTTAATCACTTCGACCTTACAGATCCATTGTGTCCCCCTTTCTTGAATCATAACTCATCATACAGTCCCAGGGGTTTGACAAAAGCCAGTATCTGGGACGGTTTTATAGAGGGTAGTTCTCCATCTCCAATATCAGTCGTACCAAAATTCATGGCACGAATGGTTGTCATCTCGGCGCACTCAGTGATGAGGTGTACTGGTGTTTCCCCATCTTCCCCACAGAATCTGCATTCGCCGTTTCTTCTTAGTTTCAATCTACTGAGGTGTTCGTTGAGGAGACAGTGTCCTGTTAAAAACCCCGTGACAATCCGAAGATTGTTCTTACTCAGACCCAGGAAGATCTGTGATTTTTCTTCATCATAAGCCCTCAGAAACTTCTTCGAGTGTCTTAGACCATTGGAAAATTTCCATTCCAGGTTGCGGATGGAATCTTCCAAGTTCTTGAGTTCCGCCTTGAGTTGGTTACCACTTGGAAAGCAGAACGGTTCTGGTTCAGTTAGTGGAGTGTTCGCTGCTTTCCTAGCTAGATTATTTGCTTTTTCATTGCCTTCTATCCCTTGGTGAGCAGGCACCAGTGTAGGAGGACTTTGTTTTCTTTGCCTAATTTATTCAGCTTCTCTATGCATTCTTTGACCAATTTCAAATCGATTGATACTGAGTTGATCGCCTTTAACGCTGCTTGACTATCAGATAAGATGGCTATTTCTTGTTTCCGATAGTTCCTATCTAAGATAAGTTGTACGCATCTCTCGATAGCGTAGATTTCTGCCTGTAGGATACTAGGGTAAGTGCCCATTGGTTCGGAGTAATTAGCTCTCGGCGCAAACACTCCGATCCCTGTTCCCGTATTGGTTTTGGAAGCATCAGTATACCAAGTTATGGTATGGTCTTTTAACTGCTGGGCAAGCGTTTCGCTCTTCCAATCCTTTCTTAATGCTCAATACTACATTGACATGTTTGTCAAAGTTGTACGTTCTTGGCATATCGTCCACTGGGAGTTGCAGGAGTGGTATTTCCTTTTTGAGGGTGTTCCAAGCCCCTGATCTGACAATTCTCCCAGTACTAATTCCGTTAGTGAACCAAATGCTTAGAAGACATGGTTCTGGCCGTAAATTGATATTTTAGGAAAATTTACACACGAAATTATTGCACAGGGTGTTTTAAAGTTAAGGTAAAAAAAAACGACCCTCGATTAACCCTGTATAATATGCCAAATACTAAAGTTTATAAAAAAACTGAGTTTACGAATTAAAGTTGATATTTTTATATACAGCTTGCTAAAAAATTCATGAAAATAACAACAAAAATATAACACTTCAAATTTGACCAAAAATTTCTCTGAGTGTCTACAACCCAATGTTTAGATTCTATAATATAAAAGACAACCCTCGTACCATTTAAAATTAACAGAAAAAACCTTAATACTATAAATATCATTAAAAAAGTGATCATTAATAAGATATCGTGAAATTAAGAAGGAAAATATTCGGTTGAAATTACGCCAGAATTACCTTATTATCATCTTTTATTCCGTATTTTTAACGATATCATTAGCATTTTATAACACTACAAAACACTTCATTGTCCCACTTAGTTTGGCTTTTGGTAAAAAAGAAATTTCACCTTCAAAAATTCTTTTCATCGCTTTGTAAGCCTTTAATGCTGCTTTCGCTATCATTTCTCCGAAGAATAAAATATTGTTCTGTTAACTAATATATTTTCATTGCGAAAGAGTATTTTTATCAGTTTCTTAATTAAATTAGTGTATTTTATTGTTATCGTCGTGGAAAATCTAATAAATACTTCGCCGTATTTAAAATATGATATAAAACATATCATATAATTAAATAATTATGGTATTAAACCTCGAAATAATTTTAAATTTGCTTTTTTGTCAGCTTTATTTGACATGTGATTTGTTTTTTATTGCATTGACCGACCGTCTGTATTTATTTCCTGTGGTTTATGATGTTTTTCATTCGAATACTTGTAAAAAAAGAGCGGGAATTACACCGTTTTTTAATAAAGCAAAATAACGAGTGATTTTTAATTTACCCATCGCCCGTTTAAATCCGCTGTGGCGTTATTAGGCACAATTCAGCGTCTGTTCATCTGTTTACTGTACTGCTTTGTACGGTTACTCGTCATTTTGTTATCTTTTTTAATGTGTTTTCGAACAAAAACAATAAAGCCTCTATGTAATTGTAATTTCTATTGTCTTTATCGGCTTTTTTTTTGGTTTCGATCAATGATTTATCCAATAAATACTTCCCGAGTTCGAGGCATTTCTACTAGAATCTATCGTAAAATCGGCAACAATGGACACGTGCAGCATTGTTTGTGCACTGGATCCTAGTTAAGCTTGTTTATTTTAAGAAACCGAGCGTAATGAGTTGTTTAGGTGACTAGCAATAAAGTTTTAAAGGACGCAGAGGCACAATCTGGCATTATTGCTCTGTGCGAATTCAATTTCCTTTTATTATTAGCGATATAAACTTAACAATATAGCGAGTACATTTAAATTAAGCACCTGAAATCAAACGTTTATTTGGACGTTTTATTTTTGTCAAATTTATCATAACTAACAAGTATATGATTCACCTTTTTATATTTTTTTCTGTAAATAAAAAACTAATACAGGGTGGTAGACATCGATAAAATAAACATGTTTTCCTTTTACCGTTTTTCAAATAAGTCCAAAATAACCGAGTTATTTTACTTTGAAAATAAAAAAAAATTTTTTTTGGTTATATTTTGACAACCACTGTATTATTTTCGTTTTCTTTCTTGTAAAATCTACGATCTATGTTGCCATACTATCAAGAAATTGTTTTTAAATTAAAAATTAAAAAAAATTCCAAAAAATTAAAATTTTGAAAAAAATATTTTTTTTTGCTAAAAAACCTTATCGACAAATATATTTGCAGTTATTAAGACTCACCTTGTATAATGAAGACTTTCAAACGTTGTTAAAATTCAGGAATTATCGATTTTATATCGAAGCCTGGCATTAAGTGACCACTAACCTCAAGTGACAGCATGTCATGAATTTATCCTTCATAACAAATTAAACGACATGGCAAGGTTAAGTTCCCAATACTTCGCTTTTTTTTCAAAAGAAAAAAGGTCAATTTTTAAACACCCGAATGATTCTAAAAATATATCGACTTTACAATTAGAGATGAACGAAAATTATCGACAATTAGTAGCTTTTAAAAAGACGCGACTTCGGGGAAAAAGCGAAAACATTTAGCAATACTCTCTCAGCTCCCTGCATTTTTCAAATAAAATAGCAATTTCATTTTATAATGGATATAACGGAAGCTATTTTTGTTCCGATAAGTTGAGGCTACTGAAATAGATTTTCCACGGTTAAATTTAGAACGAAGCAAATTATCTCTTGCGTATATAATTTGCTATAATGGAGTAATTAAATTTATTTGAGATTGTTTGGAATTTTTCCCTTAGAGAGGATGATTTACAGATGCTATAAATTTCCGCTATAGTTTTTTTTATCGTAATTTTTATTTGTCTTGTACTAAGATCGATTGTAGTACCCATTAGTGATGGGCATTACGATTCTTTTTAGTGAATCGAATCACACGATTCAGTTTCTCATATTGAATCGACTCCTACGATTCGTTCATATGAACGAACCACATGCACAATTTACGTTTCATGAAAACAAGATCGTAACTGGCACTACCGGCAATAATTTGGTAGGACAATTACTTAAGGGACCAGAAAGAGAAATATACAGTTCTTTCATTTGTTTTTCAACGCTTTATGAGACTGGCGTAATTGGATTTATTATTTTACCAATAATATTAAATTATCAATCCAATTTATATATACTATTTATTTTATTAAAGACTTCTTAATACATATTTAATATTTTTAGAGCCATATTTTAATTCCGATTTAATAATTATAATAAATAGTATACAGAGTTGTTCACCACATACGACACGAAGTATTGTAGCTAAACGACTAGATTTTTACAAATTTTAAGTTATGGATTCGTTGAAGGACTATTAGAGCTACAATTTAAAAATATTTTTACAAAATACAGAGTGTCGCAAATAAATAAAAAATATCAAAGTTGTATTTTTTTAAATGGAACACCCTATATATTATTACATTTTTAGTTTCTACGCTTAAAATAAAGGTAAATTTGATTAAGGTTTATTACACTTAAACCTTACCGTTTTTGAAATATTTTCAATTTTGTGAAATTGCAGTATAAATTTTAAGGCTTCATTTCTCCGAGGTGTAAAGTTTTATTACTAAATATTTACTGAAGTTTATTTGTTGATCAGTTATTGTGTTGCAATAATAAAAACTTTACTACCTTATACAAGTGTCTAAATAATTTTAAATAATTACTAGCTTTAAACGGCATAATTTGTTTAATTTAAATGGAACACCCTGTATATTTTATGAGAATCAGATGCACAATTTAATTGTCTATCAAATTGTATTATACCATTTTTTACCTATCTCTTCAAGTTTCCGTAGAAAATGTATTTCCTTGTAATTTAGAACCCATTTATCAATATGCCCATGGATTACTGACATTTTAGATTATTTTTAAAGATGTACCAAATTTTTAAAGAGTACAGATACTAATATTGTCGATATATTTCGTTTACTTCATTAAAAAAAACTGTTTAAATATTTGTTAAAGAGGACCAATTAATATGATTCCAGTATTCAAACTACATTAATTGACTGTTTACGTTGATTAATAATAATTGCTCCAAATACTAAAAAGCTGAATTATGTATGTGTATTAGACAGTGTGTTAAAAAGTAACACCTTAAAAATGATATTTAATTTTTCGACAAATGCTTATTTATAACAGCAGAGACGTTCATTTCATAACTTATTGATATATTGATTTCTGATTCAAATCCACATTTATTTAGAATAATTTATTAACGAACACAATTAAGTATGTAGTTAATTATATTTGGACGGAAATACTGGTGGAATATTTAATTAATGGTATACTCTTTTATAAAGATTTAAATAGTTTTCTTTTTGCATACAAATGGGCTAGTAATATTATCGTTTTACTAAAAACGATAGTATTACTAGCCTGTACATTTTGTACATTTGTTGTTTTAAAAACAATCTAAAATATCAATATTCCATGGGTATATTTATAAATGAGGTCTAAATTATAAGAAAATGCATTTTCTACGAAAACTTGAAGGAATAGGTAAGAAGTGGTATAATGCAATTTGATAGAGAATTAAATTGTGCATCTGATTCTCATAAAATATACAGGGTGTTCTATTTAAATTAAATAAGTTATTGCCGTTTAAAGCTAGTAATTATTTAAAATAAATTTTTAGACACTCTGCATAAGGTAGTATAATTTTTATTATTGCACAATAATATAACAACTGAATAACACAATAACTGATCAATAAATAAACTTCAGTAAATATTTAGTATTAAAAACTTTGATATCCTCGGAGAAATGTAAAATTTATACTGCAATTTCATAAAAGGAAGAATTAAATATTTCCAAAAACATTGGGTTTAGAACACTGCTAATCAAATTGCAACGGCTAATCATCAGAAAACTAAAAATATACAGGGTGTTCCGTTTAAATACAACTTTGATATTTATTATTGAGACACTCAGCAATGTAAAAATATTTTTAAATAGCAACTCTATCAGCCAAAAAATCATCGTTGTACAATACTCCGTGTCGGCTGTAATGAGCAACTCTTCGCATGATCGAAAAAAAATGGCGTCCAGTTAGCTTGAAGATGAACATCGATGACATTCCCCATATAATTTTACATATAAAATGACAGCTGACCCGTTTTTTTTATCACATTGAGCAGAGGCCGCTTTGGAATTGCATAAAACACTATTTCGTCTTTTAGTCTATTATCGAGGATATGAAAATATTTGCGCTTATTTAAGACTCATCCTGTATAGAGGTAGTTCGCAAATACGTGTATGGTACTTAAGGATATAATAATTATTTACCTGACATGCATCTTTGCCACCTTCTTTGTATCCAGCGCATATCATTCCATCTGTGACGTTTAGGTCACGATGCTCTAGCCAAGAGTTGCACAATTCTCTGCTTAAAACCGGAACTTCGACTTCATTGATTTCCGGTTCGTATTCTGATGCTGAAAAGTGCACAAATTAAATGCTCTTTATCCCGAATATGAGAAAACAAATATACATGTAGATTCAAAAGTTTTCTTATCACCTTATTAAGTCCCAGGGCATGTCTCACATTTCTTTGCAGGGCTGGCATTGTTATTGCATAGTAGGGTTTCGCCACATTTTTTACTACGACTATGCGATGATTTAAAATGATAAACATTGACAAACAAGCCCACAGAAAATTGTTTTACACAATATACAATTATTAGGTAATCCAAAAGATAAAACACCTCCACTGGAAAGGTCGGGTATTTATGAAATTTCTTGTAAAGATTGTAATCAGAAATATGTTGGGCAAACTAGAAGATCAATATTAACTAGATTTAAAGAACATTTAGCTCAGATAAGATATGGTAGACCGGATAAATCTTGCATTGCCGAACATATTGTTGATAAAGAACATTGTATAGATCTTCATAATTTAAAATTAATTAAACAAGTCTCAAATTACAGGCAATTAGATGCATATGAAAGCATCAGAATTAATAAATGTAAAGATAGTATGAACAGAGACAACGGTCCAATTCCTTCAAGTTCTTTGTTCCTACTACTCTAGTGGCGGAAATCTAACTTTGTTACACGCTCGTTGGCTCTGACTCGGTTGGCTAGATTTTGCCACGCCCACTCGGGGCCCACTGAGCGAGTATATAAACGCTCAACTTGTAGATTGTACTTTAGTTTATAATCATCTGCTGATGATGCTAACATGGTTAGCGAAACGCGCGTCCAGTGTAAAAGTAAAAGTGTTTTGGTGTATTGTGGTGATTTAGTGTTTTTATTTTGCTTTAACTTATATTAATATAAGATTTGTTTAAGTTTTTAAGCAAATTCCGAAAAGAAATATTCCCCGCCTTTAAAATATAAACATTTCCTTTTAAAAGTTGAGTACGAATGGCATTAAAAATATTTCCATCGCCGTCTTTTTATTTGATTTGGCGAGGCTGCTCCTTTTTCAGATTTAATTGGTTCCATCAAGTTAATAAAAGTTTGCGCGAAGTTTTTTTTACCTCTCCAACGAGTTTGGACAAGTTACTTTCGTTTTAATAGCGACGATTTGATAAGTAACAGATTTTTTAATTGTTTTTGAAAAGTTAATCGAGAATTCGAAAGGGAAAATGGCCGTGGGCGAAGCGTAAAGTTGCGGGTGCGAAAAATGAAATTCTGTCGAGCTTTTTCGAATACCGTCGATATATTTAAACGGCGTTAAAGCGAAGTTAAACAATTGCAAAAATTTTCAAGCGTTTTTTCGGTCAAATACTTTAAAAATCTGATATTCATGTCGATGTTACTACGTAAAATAACTTTGAGAAACACCTCACTGTAGTATTCAGTAATAAAAAGAATTGGAAGGAAGAAACGTTTGCTCAGCATGTAAAAGACCATACCATAACGTGGTATACTGATGCTTCAAAAACCAAAGCAGAGACAGGGATAGAAGTATTTGGGTATCAGGCAGAAATTTACTCTATCGAAAGATGGGTACAATTTATCTTAGATAAGGAACTATCGAAAACAGGAAATAACCGTCTTATCCGATAGTCAAGCAGCACAAAACGCGATCAACTCAGTAACTATCAATTCGAAGTTGGTTAAAGATTGCCTAGAGAAGCTCAATAAATTAGGCAAAGAAAATAAAGTCCTCCTACTCTGGGTGCCTGCTCACCAAGGGATAGAAGGCAATGAAAAAGCAAATGTTCTAGCTAGAAAAGGAGCGAACACTCCACTAACTGAACCAGAACCGTTCTGTTTTCCAAGCTGGAACCAACTGAAAGCGGAATTGAAGAATCTGGAAGACCATCCGTATCATGGAATGGGTGTCCTCCAACGGTCTAAGGTCTAGGACACTCGAAAAAGTTCCTCAGAACTTACGATCGAGAAAAATCAAAGGCTTTCCTTTGTTTAAGTAAAAACAATCTTCGGATTGTCACGGGCTTTATATGAAAAAAAATTCTAGACGAAAGTACAACTTTAACGCCTTTTCAGAAGGCTAATACAACTTTTTTATTAAATTATCTGGGGAACTTGATATTTGACAATTTCAAAATTTACATGGGATTTTCTATGTCCAGTGTTCCGATGCACCACATAAGTAAAAATAAAATAGGGCCTATTTTTACCACAAAGGTGATTTATTAAAGTAAGCATTTTCTCGATTTTTATAGAACCTTTTTGCTTGTAAACTATACTGATTCACATTTAGCACGGGCCAGCAAATACAAAAGAACAATTTAATATTGAAGGCAAAATAAACAAAAGACAGGCTTGCCAGGCAAAGTTGACCTATATTTGAATGTAAAGATCGAAGTCCCGAGTCAATTAAGTTTATACGGAAGCTACAAAACAATAAATAAAACAGAAAAGCGAAATGTTAATGAACTGTTCTAGTTTGATATGGTTTCAGCCCTTTAAGAGTTTTTAATATAAACATTATGTATAGTCTATAAAATGAATAACTTTGAATTTTGACCGTTATTTTTTACCAACATGGCAAATATAAAATCCCTCTGTCAAAAAAGTTACTGAAATTCTTTAAATTGAGTGCCTGAACGGATCAGATAGGTAACTCTTTTTACTTTCGTGGAATAGAAAAGGAAAATAATAAAACAAGTGACAGTTCTTCCTCTTCTTGCAAAAATCATAAGTTTGGTTTATGTCACGTGGTACACCCTGTATATTAAAACTGTATACGTGCCAGTTACATTTCGTAAATTATTTTCTAAAAAGCTTAGGCACTTATAACATGCTTCGGTCCCTTTAAACGCTATAAAAACCGTAACATTATGTTTCAGATATATCGATAAAAATGTTAAGATGTTCGAACATTTATTACGTCAAAAGATGAATTGCCATTTTTGTTTTACGTTTTCGTTGGTTTTAAAGAGTTTTATGGTTTTCGAGTTTTTATTCTAGACTTTTTAAAAAAGATAGGGACTGGGGATTGTAACCTAAGGATCAGAAAAGGACCACAGTAGATCTGAAAGGATCCCCAGGTCCACCTCAGAAATTAGAGATGAGCAAAACTGCGATTTTCCAATCATAGTTAATTAACAGTTTATAAAATGCTACTGTAACTTCTGCGATTGCAATTTGATATTTTTAAATTGGTACGCTAAACTGGGAAGCTCAATCCCAAAATTTTTTGAAAAAGCAGAAATAAACCAAGTCATTTTTTAAACCAAATCCAAAACTGTTGGTGTTCGATGCCATATACTAAGTGTTTTTTTATTATGATTACTTAAAATTTTCATCAATTACCGAAAAATCAAACCAAATATTCAACAGTTTCCTTTTTAAACGTTTTTGGTTGAATAGACTGAATAAATTTAAAGGAAAAAAAACACATAAAATATTCATCTTCAGATGTTTCTTTTTAAACATTTTCTTTATATGTAACTCAAAGAAGCCAGTGCAATCATTTAAAGTCTAAACTTTTCGTTTAGATAAATAGGACATTTATGTTTGTTCTAAGTAATGATTGTAAGGATGTATTTAAATTAACACCTTGTGATCTAGCTGTTAGTATAATTCAAAAAAAATTATATTATATTATGGATTGTTATAAAAATGTTTATAATATAATATACATATAACAAATAAAGAAAGACATTTCATTAATATCTAATAAAGGATAAAAATAGACAATTTTTATAATTTGTGAATTCAAAACTGTCCTTGGAATGAATTATTTTACCTGAATCATTACCTGGGAGCAACTGTAACTACTCAAATTAATCATAATAAGCAAAATTTTAAACTTCTAAATCTATAATTATATTATAAATCTAAAACTATTAATCAAAATTTAATTAAAATTCATACATAATATATATTATGCGGTATATAACATATATAAGCCTATTTTCCAGATTAGAATGTGGATTTGCGATCTAGTCCTGAGCCAAATGTCATTGAGGTGCAGGGCCGAAAATCGCAATCGCCGCTCTTCGTTAGCCCTCCCGATGCCGCGCCGCCGGTGCCAACGAAAATCGCAATCGCAATGCTGGGATGAGCTGCGATTTTCGTTCAGCTCCTCGTTCGCCTGCCCACTGCCGTGTTGATGACGCGCCGCCGCCAGCCGGTGCGTACGAGAATCGCAATATTGCGATTTTCGTTCCCAGCTCATCGTTCGGCTTCTCAGTGCCGCGTCGATGCACCGCCGGTGCAAACGAAAATCGCAATGCTGTGATTTTCGTTCGCAGCTCTTCGTTCGCGTGCCCACTGCGATTGCAAATTGCAACTGGTGTAATATTGGTTGCCTAAAAATCCAAAATCGGCAGATATATGTTTCAATCGCTAGTCGCAGTTTGTTATGGAAAGGAATCACAGGTTGCGATTGCGAATTTACAATCGCTGCGATTAAATCGCAGTTTGCGATTTTCTGCTCATCTCTATCAGAAATATATGATAAATGTCGCTAAATTTTCGAATACAAAATAAGTAAATGAGCCTAAAGAATCAGACCTTTTGATGTCATGTCTAGAAAAATAAAACGAAAAATAATTTGTACGAGTTTTTTTCAAAAAAGTATTTTTTAAACTAATGATTTTTTCTTTATATAATCCTTATTGGAAAAATACTTTTTTCGGTCGGTTCAGTCTAATTCCCGACCATTTTCCAAATTAAAACAGACAAATCGAAAAATGAAAAACATCTTTATAACATCTCAAACATTTTACTGTAATACGTAAGCCTCTGTTTTATTTATTTTTCTCTCGGCCGAATAATGGAGTGGTAAAAAATACCGAAACAATTTAAATCCAAGACAGCATCCGGTTATGTACATTCAATTGAGACTGGCTATAAAACATGGATGTATTATTTGGAGTTAGCAACTGAATAACAATGAGGGAAAACTGTTTAAAGATGCAGGACCGAACGCTACAACGAAAACTATAAGACCCAACTACTCATCATTGGTTTCTGCATTGGCAAATAATGAAGAAACAAAGCTTTCTTCCTTTGTGAGTATTTTATATTTTTGTTATCTCGAGTTTACTTTTAATTTAATATTATATACTCTATAATCTGTCTGATCCAAGAAAATATTATTCAGACAAATTAAAATACTCCTACTCTATGTAATAAAAGGGATTAAGTTACTTGAAATAGAGCAACATCATTGTCGTGGGCTATTCCTAAGTTGTACATTGGGTGAGGAACAACCCTCTTAACCTTCATTTTTTGACCGTAGAACGCATGCGCGTATCTTCTTGTTATGCCAACTTGAATCGTCCATCCCGTTACATCACTGTGACTGGAAAAAGAATCTAGATGTTTCTTTTTTGTTGTTTAAAAATCGAAAAAATCTTACTTTCCAACGCAGTGGGAGGCAGTGAGAACCCACTGATCCGAGATGAGCACACCAGCACAGTAAAACACTTCTTCGGGGCCTCCCAAAAGGGCTGCCAAGAAGGGCCACTCCCCAGGCTTAGATCTGACACCACCAACAATCCTAGGAGTTCGTTTTCGTTCTGCATAACTTTTGCGAGCCTTGCCACAAACTTAAAAATAGTCAGAAAAAGTCACAGTATTTTATCAACATATTTCAACTTAATTGAAAGTCATATTACGAAGCACTTTCAGTCAAGTTAGGTGTCTACTTTCTACTTTTTTGAGAATCTCAGATCATTACTTTCAAACTACACCCTCTATAATGTAAATACGTTAGTCTTTTGGCTTGTCTTTAAATTTAAAGCGATTTAAACTAAAATTGGGGCATTCTGAGATTAGAGCTATTAAAATTAAATGTGTCTTTAAGTTTCAAAAGTTGGACTGAATAATATATTCAAAACGTCAGTCAAGAGTAACTTTTTAAATTGGTGTGGAAGGAGTCCAGAACTTTTGAATTAAAGTTTATTCCATAACGTCGAGGATTCGTCATATTTAAGACCATCCTCCGAGATGATATACTTGAAAGAATAAATTAGTAGTGTTACTTCTGAAAAGTTGGTCTTTAGTGATGACTGAAATTAAATATTTTTAAGTTTTTTTTCTATCTAAGATCTGCTATTGCTTTATACAGGACGAGTCATAAATAAGTGCAAATATTTTCAGGGCTGGTAGATCCCGATAAAAGAAACATATTTTCTATTTACCGTTTTTGAAATAAGTCCAAAATATCCGAATTATATATCGTGGGCGTACAGCGAAAATCCACTAAGTCACATTTTTGGTTGAACTGGATTAAACACACCACTATGTCCAGTTTTTCACGGTCTTTAACATGAAAAACCCATTAAGTCCAATTTCGGCATCCTTATAATATAAGGAATTATAGGAATATAAAATTATAGGAATGCCGAAATTGGACTTAATGGGTTTTTCATGTTAAAGACCGTGAAAAACTGGACATAGTGGTGTGTTTAATCCAATTCAACCAAAAATGTGACTTAGTGGATTTTCGCTGTACGCCCACGATATTATGTATAAAAAAATGATTTTTGGTTAAATTTTGAGAACCACTGGAGCTTCTCTTGGTTTTTTTTCTTGTAAATTTCATCTACTAGATGTTGCCATATTATCAAGAAATTTAGTTTTTTAACCAAAACTAAAAAAAAATCCATTTTTTTTCAAAAATTCCAAATATTCAAGTTTTTTTTTTTCGCGAAAAAAAACTCATAATCGTGTTTCTGGCTTCGAAATATACTACCCCCAAAAATATTTTGTTGGTATGAAGACTCACCCTGTACGATGATTTGTAGCTAAATTATTTGACTTTTTAATATCTCTTTCTAAATTAAAAATGAAAGTTCCCATCTGTCAATTATACGAGGGAAGAAAAAACGTCATTTTGATGAAAGTTTGAAACACACTGTGGAATATGTTAAAAAAGCAAGGAATTTGAAAATCATTTTATCATCTAGGTGCATTGTTTCTCGTTAGTTTATTTTCCGAGAAAAGATGTACCTAGATATTAAAAAGAATTTTTAAACTCCTTGCTGTTCCACAGGGTGTTTCATTGGAACTTTTATTTTTAACTAGCGTGTACCAGCGACTTCGTTCGCGTCGAATTAATCATTTGTAATGGTGGTGATAAAGTAAAGCAAGAATTTCCATTAACATACAAACTGGATAAAATTTTCTCACATTTATGCCAGCATGAGAAAAAACAATATGGCGATATTATTATATAACTTGGTAATATTTGAGGGGTAGTTTAAGCAGAATCGTGGTTAAGAAATTACCCAACTTTTTGGAACACCCTGTATTATTTTTTTAAAAATTTCAAAATATGTAAAATAACCAAATAAATTATGCTTGTCCAAGCGTTTTCCCGAAGACTAACCGTTTTTTAAATAACAAATATTGTAATATTTGAGGGGGTTTTCACCCTCTTGGAATTTGAGATTCGAGAAACCCCTCCTTATCGAACCTCTACACCCCACAGTCAATCCGTTTGCCAAAAATCAGCTTTAAACGTTAAACAGTTTAAGCAGAATCGTGATTACTCAATGGTCATATTTTATGAAACACCCTGTATAAATTTATAAAAAGTCTTAAAATATATAAAATATGTAAAACAAAATAAAATACACGTGTTTAAGAGTTTTCCCAAAAACCCACCGGTTTTTGAATAAAACATATTTTAATATTTGAGGGATAGTTTCACCCCCTTAGAATTCGAGTTTCGAAAAATCCCTTTTTATCGAACCTCTACACCCTAAAGTCAATTTGTTTTCCAAAAATCAGCTTTTTACGTCAAGCGCTTTAAGCAGGATCGTGATTAATCAATGACCAGATTTTTCGAAACAACCTGTATATATTTTTAAGAATCTTAAAATATTTAAAAAAACAAAATAAAATATATGTGTTTTTTCGGAAACTTGACCGTCTTTTAAATCAAAAATATTGTAATATTTGAGGGGTTGTCTCACCCTCTTGGAAATGGAATTTCGAAAAATCCCTTCTTATCGAACCTCTACACCCTAGAATCAACCTGTATGCCAAAATTGAGCTTCTTACGTTGAGTGGTTTGAGCAGGATCGTGATTAATCAGTATGTCAGTCACTTAAGGATTTTATATATTAGTATAGATTTAGAAAGAGCTACCAGAAGGTCAAATAATTTAGATACATATTGCTTGAAAAATCGTCAAAATCGGGACAAAATATATAAAACTTTAAAATACATCAAAATTTTAAGGCGCCCGTTTTTCGTGCCGGTGGGCGTATTATTCGCAATTAAAATTATCGTGACCTTGCCATATATCGACAATTTTTATTTATTCCCGCGAAATTGTATCAATTTAACAGATTTCAAGAAAAACGATTTATAATACGTAAATCGATAACGAGACATGAAGGCTTATATCATATTCCATCAGAAAATGCCTTAATAATGCGAAGTACATTTCGATATTCTAGTAAACATGGTCGCGATGCGTTTGAGTTTCACGTAATAGACGCCGAAAAATTCGAAATGAATAAATTGATACGAAATCGCATCTCTATGGACTTACTGTAGTCGGTACAAATTAAGTCTACTGTAGGATAGTTGGTGCCGTTACAAGATGCAAATTCCCTAATCAAATTGAACCTTCTGTGAGGCCTCTGTTCCCTAGTTGGGTATCGAGACTTCGCTACTTCGTTCGGTGATATCTTTTCACCATCTTTCACCACTCGGCTATAGTTCGTGTTGCTGAAAATAACATAATTGGCAATTAAATGCGATCAAATTTGTCAACAACTCACACAAACCCAGATATTTTCAATTAATACAATATACAAGGTGATTTGTGCATTACTTATACCAAACACATTAAAAACAGACTTTCTAATTGCCAAATAAACCAAAAGTGTCAATAATTTTGGATTCATTTTTCAACAAGTCATCCTGTATGTTGATATGTAATTAGATGTTGCTTTCTGGTATATCTTAGAATATAAAAAATGTTTTATATACTTTATATATACTTTATATTAGAATATATAAAGATGTCCAATTAGGTATATTTTCTTTTTCAAGTTTTTTTTTCAATACCTCACCCAATATTAAGATATTAAACGCATTCCTTTGAAGGATTATAATCCGTATAAAAGAGTTCATTTTGTTTCTTTTTTGTTATTTGTATGGAATCTTCTGCCTTCACTTTGAAGATATTGACTAGAATTTACCTTTGCTTTTACTGTTTTCTTGTTTAAATTCGTAATTATGTTTTTCTGTGGAGAAAGAGTTCAAGATACTTTATAATGTAATTTGAAAAAATACAATGACATGTGCGATATATTTGTAACATTTATATTAGATGCGTTATTCCTCCATGGCATAAGGTATTTGGACGCCACAAATAAATAGCGAGCACTTCGAAATGATTTATTTTAAATGGTTACCCATGATACCCCATTACCTTATACCGAAGAGACAATTTCCGGTGGCTGTAGCATACACAACGCGTGAACTCTATTCTCTACACTATTAGTGGACTATTATACGTGCATTTTAATGAATACAATGCTGTTTTATAAGATATCAGTCAATATATTTAATGCTTGAAAAAGGTTCATTTGAAAATTCGTAGGAATATTTGTTTGTATCGATAATTTACATTTAGATACCCTGTGGATCGATATTTATTTACTGTATTTGAAAAAAACTAACTTTACGTAAGTCAAAGTTAAAAATATATACATGCATATACCTTTTTATGAAAATATATAAAATTAAATTATGTATGTCTTAAAATTTAAAGTATTTTTTTTTGTGGAAACTAAAAAAATAATATAGCAATTAAGTCTGCTCAAATATTTATTATTTGTCAATTGCTAAAGGGTCTGTACCCGTTTGCTAATCCATTAGAACTGGACTTAAAAGCCTTGGGCCTTCGTTATTAGCAGCAAGGCTTTCAAAACCACAGCCTAATAGTTGTTAATTAACCCTATAGAATAATTTAATACTTTACATCACTATTTGCTTGGTTGAAAATTGGTGGCAACAATTAAAGTAATGTTTATATATTTATTATGTAGATCTTTTACCATTCTTGTTTATATAAAATATACAGCGTCTTCTTAGGAGAGGCGTATCGTATATTTTCGTATTATGATAGAGAAGTTTTTTAACTTACGCATATCCTAGCAAGAAACATATGTTTTTGGAAAGATGTTCGTCCCATTGGGTGACGCAGGCCGCAATGAATTTTTCTTTATCTGGTCTGAAGACTTCCAGTGTCCCTCGTGCTTCATCTCCATTTCTTTCACTCAATCTCACTGGAAAAAAAAACTTTCTACCAAAAAAATGCCGCAGAGAGAACACATTTAACAGATTATTCCTTAGTTTTTGTATTAATAAAATTTAAAATAAAACCTCTTCGATGGTATGAAAACTGTATTGTGGAAAATGAATTCAGAACCGTTACATAAAAAATATTTTAATTTTAATCGATACTTACCTCGGGCAGAATTATAATTCTAGTGCGAAGAAAATTATAGAAAGCGGTTAAGATTTAATTTTAAATGGGACAAATACAGCAGAACTTAATATCAATTTATTAGAATTTTAATCGATAATTGTCAGTTCATTTATTTCCTTAAGATATTTTTCCTGTTATTCTGTTTATTAGAATTTACATTGTTAAGATGTAGAAATTTTTTTAGGTGTTATTGGACTTACGGCAGTTTCGTTCATCTTGACCCCAAGGGCAATCAACCTTTCCATCACACATGTGGTCCTGATTGATACACTGGTCATAACCGCAATGCACGGAGTCTGGGCTACATTTCTTGCAATAGGATTCGTCAGTTTGGTCTTTGCAATCGATGTGACCATCACATACCCAGTCTTGAGGTATACAACGTTTTTTGTCGCACTGGAATCCAGTAGGGCAAGCTGCATGGCAAGTCACACATCACGATATCTTATATTACCAGATTATTCTGATTAGACATTCTTGAAAAAGTCATTAAAAAGAATGAAAAGTGCATCAGATTTCTTGAAATTGTGTAAATATTTAAAATATTCGAATACAATTTTTTAACGTGAGGGGTTGTTGAGTTGACGCAAAAAAAGTAATTAAACGAATTTTTAATGGTGTCAACAGACAATAACCTTCGGCCATTATATGGTCCAATAAAACGGGGTCTTCTTTTTGTTTGATTTTATATTTTAAATTACTTGCCAGTAAGCGATATTGGACATGCTTCAAGAGCTTTGATATATCGGTTGGACTTGTTGACAGTTTTACTTAATATATTTGTTTCGGATTGCAACAAGAATTTATTAAAAAAAAAACAGTTTCAGTCTTTACAAATTTGTATTTTTAAATAGTACATTTACCTTTTCAAAAAGTAAACGTTTCTGTGACTATTTATTAACAGATTGATCATTAAAACTCAATACATTTTACGTAATTCCACATAAAAAACTGCAATTTGTAGCTGATTATAAATTGAAATATGTATAACAACTTAAATCCTCATTTAATTAATACGCGAACTGAACTGAACATTATGTTATAATTAACCAAAAAATAATTATTTTGGCTAATAGAAGATTTAGTTATTCAAAAACTTAGTAATTCCGTTTTAATTATTAATCATCGCATATATCGTGTTTTACGGTTTTTTAAAGCTCAGTCAAATAAAACTCACATTTTTATTTTGTTGTCTGGGAAGAGAAACAATATCTTATTAAAATAGACGTCAAGAAGAGAAATAACAGATCTTTTAGCTTGTTGGCGGTACATATAAATTTTCAGTAGAAAAGGAGTATTACGTTTATTCTAAATGCCGCGTAGAATATATATTATTTGGGTATATACAGGGTGTGTGCCTATTAGTGTGAGCAAGATCAATATTGTCGTTGTTGACAAAGATATTTTTTTTTTAATTGTTTGAATCTAAATCTGCACAGAAAAATTAAAAAAAAAACTTAAAACTTTTTCGTAACTTTTTTGACACATCCTGTATACAACAAAATATCTTTAGGATATATAGCTATGCGACATCTGTATCAAACTTTTTTTATATCTTCGACGACGATATTGAACTTCCTCGCACTATTGGGCTACCCTGTATATTCGGAGTTTTGAATTAAATATTATTTTTAGGACAAATCTTTTCTGTTCTGATAGGATATTAATAATAATATTCAATTTAATTAACAAACTAGGTCCAAAGATGGCTTTTAGGGCAAGTCCGAGTGGTATTGTGCGTTCCGAAATTATACAGAAGGGTCCATAATTAGCATTGCTTATGAACCAAACCGTTCCAGCCTCTTAATTGACATAATCGAAAATGATTCTTTAATTAAAAATAAAAAAATTGGGAGTTAATTAATAATTTACATAAATTGGGTTTGAAACAATAAGAAAATGTACAAAATAAAAAATATTATTTTTATCTCGCCTAGACGTGTTTTTTGAATGTAATTCTACGAAGTGTAAAAATACATTTGCCTGAAAGATAAGTTCCACGCGGAATCATTTTTATTTTCCATCGTTAATTTTATCTTTAAGTATAATTTTCCTTTCGCTAAATTCATAAACGAAATTTGAATACCACCAAGAGAAACATTTTAAGTGGTAGATTTTCATTTTAAGTCGGGCATTTGTGTATTAAATTAAGTTGTCTTGGGTTAATATTATATTAAGTGCTTTGAAAAACTCCTGACTTTCCCAAATTTAGTATACTAATATAATTTTGATGTTCATAACGAAAATTTAATTGTAAAAATGTCTATACCTCTCTGGCGGGTTTATCTCTTCAAAAAAGCCATATTAGTATTTCGTCATTTGTACTCTAGAAAATCTATAAAATAAATTAGTTATTTTTTGTAAACCAACTTATCAGCAGTGATTTACTAATAAACAAATTTGCCTAACGGACAAAAATGAACATAACATAAGTAAAAATTAAAAACAAATTAAAAAATAAGTATAGAGAAAGTTTTTTCTTTTTACTTTATTAAGTAATTGGTTAGGTTTAATTGATATAATGTAATTTTATCAGAACTTCAATGGTTTTTATAGATGTATCTGTTGAAAAAACTAAAGTGTTCTTGAATAGTTGTATTTAGGTATCTTAAATAGTTTTTTCCTTATTTCCTTGTGTTTTTATACGACGGGAAGAGCTATACTTCCTGGAACATTAAGCATTTTTTTGTGCATTAGGCAAACTTGTTTATTAGCAAATCACTGCTGACAAGTTAATGATTTGCTAAAACACAATTATTTTATTTTGTAGATTTTCTTAGAGTGCCAGGGGCGAAATACTCAAGAACTTTGTTGAAGAGAAAATTTAATTGTTTAACACTGACGTGTTAAGATATTAAAGAAAACTCGCGAATAGATATTTTTATATATTATTTTTCAGGGGAGCGTCTTCTTATTTATTTTTGGAAAGTGAAATAAATTCGTTTTGCACTTCAAGATCTGTTGCAGCTGGAATTGACTGTGTATTTTCTGCATCGGTATGTAAATACTGGTAAATTTCCCCATTTAATCGTTTTGGTTAAATATTTGAACAGGGAGAGTTCAAATTTACCACACAGTTATTAAGAAAATGCCGTTTGTAATGAAGTTTATTTTTCAGTGTTAGAGGAATATAAGTGAAATTAAAATTTATATAAATAATTCTATTAGTTTTGTAGATAAGTAATTATTTACGTGAAGAGAAGCAGAAACGAACCCTGTTCCGTAGGCAAGATTTTCGCGCAAAAAACCGTTTATTTCGAGCAAGATTTCGAAGGTTTTTGTGGCCTTAGGCCCGACCTTCTATCTAGGGATAAATGATAAACAGACTTTCTAATTTAACCGAGCACTTGTATACACTATCAACTTAAATATGTTTAATAGTTTTCCCAGTCAACATTTACAAATATCGACGAATAGCTTACGAAGTTTTATCCACTTAATGAGTGTGTTAGTCGAATTATTAAACTAGATTATGAAATTTTACGGCACTATAATAAAGTTTTAACAAATAAAACGACTTTAGGAGCAGCCAACCGCGTTGTTTCGAGGGAATGTAATTGAATTTAACACGTATTTTCATTTTATAAAATTCTTCAGCTTGAATATCTAAGTAGTTTGACTGGAATTTATCTAATAATACCCCCAGGCTGCATGGAAAATTTTGCATTAAGAGGGCATCTCCGAACTTCACTCAAGTCCCTGCTAATTGCTAATAAACATCCAAAGATTGTATTCAATTTCTGCTTGTTTTTTTAATGACTTTTTCTTTAAAATAATATAATAATTGCACTTACCAAATTCGGCTTCGCGATCTTTGGTTTCGTTATATTCTTTTTGTCCGATACACACGTTCTCATCGGACGATTCAGGAAATAGGCTACACTCTAAATATTTGGGCAAAGCCAAACCAAACACCTCCAGAAAAAATCCACACCTCCTTTTTGTTTCTAAAAGAACATCCTTTTTTTGTGCGACTTTCTAGGATATAACCTCTGATTAAAAGGTACATTTTCGCACAAATAAGACCTTGTTGACAGAGTTGATTTTGTATTGACTATAGATCACAAAGAGCCAGAACTCTCTTTCCTAACTAACGCAAGTTCTTTTGTGGTGTGGGAAAAAAAGAGCACCGGAGATACAGGGAAAAAAGCATTTAATTTAATAAAAACGGTGGAACGCCGGCAAAGATATCTTTAGTTAATTGGTTTGATGTCAATTAATTATTTTTTCTTGTTTTTTTTGGGTAGTGTGTTTTCTCAGCTGTATCATATGAGTTGTTATTTTTGAAAATGGAAGTCTAATTTTTAAAAAAAAATAAGTTAATGGTAATTTCAGTATGATATTCTTTCCATATTTAGAATTATACATTTAATGGACTACGATTTTTTTATAAAGTCAACAAAAGAATTTTGACTATAAAATATTAGGAATGGACTTATTCCACTTTCAAAAAATATTTTTGTGTTTTGCGTTTTTTAAAACAACTGGCTTAAAATGTGTTGGATGATGTTTAAAAGCAATGAACCTCAATTTTTTTATGATATTAGTATGGAAAAAATGCTCCATTTAAAACGATTTTTGTATTTGGAAAAAAATGAAGACAAAAAACCTGGCCAAAATTAATATGCTACCACTTGATAAAAACTTCAAGGAGCACAACAAGTATAGAGAAATACCGTATGATCGAAAAAAAATGGCGTCCAGTTGGCTGGGAAATGACGATCGATGACATTTCCCATATAAATTTACATATAAAATGACAGCGATCTTCATTTCATAGCCATCGCTGACGCCGTTTTTTCTCGATCATACGGTATAACGACATGATACGTTTATTACCTTATATATCACCTATTCACCATAAATACAATATGACTGAAAAAAATACGGCGTCAACGATTGCTATGAAATGAAGATCATTGTCATTTTGTATGTAAAATTATATGGGAAATGTCATCGATGTGCATTTCCAAGCCAACTGGACGCTGTTTTTTTTTTGATCATACGGTACTTAAAAAATAAGTTTAAAATATCATTTTTTTTTAATTTAAAGATCTGAACGAAGTAACTTTTGTTTTTATACTTTTAAAATATCTGAAATAAATTTTAATAAACTTGGTTGTTCGTATATTTAAATGTCTTCGTTTTAATTATTGCATTTTACATAAAAATATGGACTTAAATTTAGTCCCCTTTTTAATTTCTTGTAATATGTTATTTTTGAAACTGGTATCTATAAGCCCATTTGGAGTTAAATCGTTTATTTTTTTTGTAAGAATTGTCATAGTTATTATTTCATAATAAAATTAAAAAGTGTATAGCTTTAATAGGGTTACGAATATTTTTAAATTAATTCAAATGCCAAGCGTTAAATATCTCGATACATGAAAAAAATGGACTTATACCATTTTTAAAAATAACAGCTCAAATATTCTATTGTTTCTAGATATTGAAAATGTTTTGGCAAGATAAATTTAGACTTCTCTCTATTAAATTAGAGCCTCAATTCCATGAATATTCGAAGGGAATTTAAACTATTACACTATTAAACGTACGGAGAGGAGCAACAGGATGGGCATAGCAGATCGAAACTAACATATTAATATAAGGGGACAGAAAATAAATGTCCGTAAACGTAACCTCGACCACGGCCAAAAATAAATCATTAATTCTCCCGTGCCATGATTAAATCCCGCTTTAGGAAATGCCCGTACTGGGAACCCGAGCAAAGACGTTGAAAGTGAAGCTAATACCTGCGGGATTTGGATATAATTAGACTTTATTACTTTTATTTAAACTTCCCATCGCAAAAAAATGGACTTTACTCTACGAGTGGTTCTAATTGAAAACACTTTATCCACTCAAAATACGAGTTTTTTTTTTGTCAGATTATTATAGCCATCCTTGCATACATCTATATCTATATAGGATGCAGCTTATCACCTCAAATATTCAATGCTTACGTTGAAGTAGCCCTTAGGGAATGGAAGAGGAGATGTCAAGGTATGGGAATACCCATTGGGGACGATACACTATTTACTAGTAGTGGGAACTATCGAATGAATACTATCGAAACATTCGATAGTTGCAATTCATTCGAATAATTCGATAGCTAGTAAGAAAACATTCGTCGAAAACTATTCGAATAAAAATATCGAATAGATGCGTCATCTGCCTTGAAATATATTAATACGGCAGCAAAAACCATTCATTTATAAAATTCATTCATTTGTAAAAATCATTTATTCGTCAGGATCGATTATAATAAATATTTACTCTGAGCTTTGCAGACGATCAGGTCGTGATGGCTCTTACGATCTGGAGTTCATGATTATAGAAGCTTTATCGAGAATATAACAAATGGGGACTTCAAGTTAGTCTAAAAAAAACGGAATATTTAGCTGTCAATTTCAACGCTTGTTTTGAAGTCTTCATTGATGTTAACGTCCAGATTCAACAAGTAGACAAATTTAAATACCTGGGTGCTACTATCAACAACGAGGGTTTGGGTAAAGAAGAAATACAAACCCGAATTCACAAGAGCAAATAAGTTATTGGATGTCTTAATAGCCTCTGGTGTGACCGAAACTTGTCTGCTACAATTAAAAATAGACTTGGACGGACATCGGTGGAGTCAGTTCTTTGTTATGGTTCAGAGCTATGTTCATAACTCTGAATGCAGATACGAAGCGCAAAATCCAAATTGTTGAAATGACTACCTTAGAAGAAGCCCAGGTATATCTAGGATGGAAAAAAAGACAAACATCGAGGTCAGGCGTATCATGAATACATCGGAGGAAACAGTACTAGATCGAATCGAAAAATCCAGCTTAAAGTGGTTTGGACCACATGTTCTGCGTATGCCGAAGAACAGGTGGCCAAAAAAAGTTTTTCAGTGGGCTCCCCAGGGTAGGAAAAAGAGATGCAGGTCTAGAAAATCCTGAAATGGAACGGTTAAGGAAGCAATAGAAGCTCGTAACCTAGAAGCTGATGACGCACTAAATCGAGGCTTTTAACCATGAATTTAACCATAAATAGTAACCATGAATAAATGCACAATTGACACTTTCACAATAAGACAAGAGTTCAACATGTTCACACAAGTTAATCAGAGGTTACCTAAACTTAATCAAATCCTAATAAAACAGAGGTATTACTTACCCATACATACGCTTTTACATGGTCTTACCAGAATACCATCCGGTCCACACTTTGGTACGAAAATGGTGCACAAAAAGAGCGCAGCAAGTTCGTAACAGCGCACGTCAACCACCGCATCGTAGATTTCCAGATCCATTTGGGCATCCCTTTGCCCAAAATGCCCAACATAATTTGGGTAAACCGTATAGTTATATGGCAATTTGTGGTTGATGCAAAAGCTGACGATGACTGGCAAGCAAATACCCGGGGCAGGGTTGTCATTGCTCTTATCTATTATTATCATTGGCGGCGTTGTCACGTTTATTGTCTGGTTGACTATTTTTATTATATTTGATGGGTTCACTGCAACCATATCCAAGGTTAGATACATCCTGTTGTATACAACGCACCGGACAGCCACAAAAGAGGTAAGGATCTTGTTTAGTACGCTAGAGTTTTTTTAAACTCGAGGTGTTGAGTAATCCCGACTTAAGACAGATTTTTCGAGAATTCTGGGTACATAAAATACCATAAAACTTAATTTAATATAGATTCAACAAATTAATGTATATACTCTCTAATTTTGACGTGCATCTATTTAGAATAGAAAATAATTTGATCAGTAAACGGTTTACAACGACCAGTGTTTAAAAGTTTGTACTGAAACATTATTTACGAACTAAATAATATTATTACTACCTTAAACCAAGTTTTAACTTTCCGAGCTTTTAGTAAACTACGTTCGGGTTTATCTATGATAAAAGGAGATAGTAAAATTTGATTTCCTTTACGTTTAGCTTTAACATTATTTATTTGTTAGTAAAATATAGTTTATTATGATACTTACCATGTGTGTTGTCGCGATTTTAATATAATTTTATAAACATACAATAAGAACACAAATAAGCAGCATCAACAAACATCTCTGCCACAATTCGGTGTCAAACAGAAATTCCAAACTGCGTAATATTAACGAATGTGGCGTGTATTAATTATGCGTCTTACTGTAAATAATGACGATGAAATAATAACTACGCACACCTGTAATCAATCCACTTCATAGAAGCAAGCTTTGAAATGAGTACAGGGTGTCGCAGAAATAAGTGCAAGTATTTTAAGGGATGGTAGATCTAGCCAAAAAAACATATTTTCTCTTTACTATTTTTAAAATAATTTAATTATAACCGAGTTATTTAACTTTGAAAATTTAAAAAAATTATGTCATTTTTTTAAACAAAACACCAACAATTACAGTTGAGGGTTGGAACCTTTGGTGTTACACAGCAAAATAAAACACTAAATCACCACAATACACCAAAACACTTTTACTTTTACTCTGGACGCGCGTTTCGCTAAACATGTTAGCATCATCAGCAGATGATTATAAACTAAAGTACAATCTACAAGTTGAGCGTTTATATACTCGCTCAGTGGGCACCGAGTGGGCGTGGCAAAATCTAGCCAACCGAGTCAGAGCCAACTGAGCGTAACAGTTAGATTTTCGCCACTAGAGTAGTAGGAACAAAGAACTTGAAGGAATTGGACCGTTGTCTCTGTTCATACTATCTTTACATTTATTAATTCTGAAGCTAATTGCCTGTGATTTGCATCTAATTGCCTGTGATTTGCGACTTGTTTAATTAATTGTAAATTATTAAGATGTAAAGATAGTAGGAACAGAGACAACGGTCCAATTCCTTCTAGTTCTTTGTTCCTACTACTCTAGTGGCGGAAATCTAACTGTTACGCACAGTGGGCTTTGACTCGGTTGGCTAGATTTTGCCACGCCCACTCGGTGCCCACTGAGCGAGTTTATAAACGCTCAACTTGTAGATTGTACTTTAGTTTATAATCATCTGCTGATGATGCTAACATGGTTAGCGAAACGCGCTTCCAGTGTAAAACTAATAGTGTATTGTGGTGATTTAGTGTTTTATAAAACACCAACAATACAATTGTTTAATGTGTATAATTTTTCAGATTTTTAATTATTTAGAGTTTAATTATTTCAGTTTACTAAACTGTAAAAAGGTATTTAAATTATAGTAGACGTAGAATGATTAAAAAATCAACAGTGAATACAATTAATTTAACTATTTTTTTTGTAGAAATTTAAAAATGTGAACTTGTAACTTATAAACATACAGAATGAGGATAACGTAGGAGGTGGCAACATTGCATTCTCACATATTTCCGGAAACTGAACAAAAGTTTCAATATTTTCCGGAAATTGTCAAGGAAAATATAACATGCAGAATAAACATCACTGGGGTGGAATTATACTACGACTTAAAATACTTGCACTTATTTCCGGGCCACCCTGTATAAACATACGAATTAAGGACTGGCGGTCTAATTATTTTCAAAATCCTTTTCGTTTGTGACTGCCTGTTAACCGAAATGATCTCAATAATTTATTAGAAGATTCTATGTTTTCGAAAATTGAATTATTAAAATGTTTTCACTGTCTCACAAGCTTTTTTGTCAAAGATACTCATGAACGACAGACTTCAATCAGTGAGACAATTTAAAGACTTGTCACAGGAAAATCCAATATTTTTCAGCGAGTAAAGAGATTGAGTGACAATATCTTTCTTTTGGAATCTTTTATTCGTTGCGTGTTCATGTTTAAATCAAAACTCGAAAGAGATTTTAGAAACTTCTAATAAATCATGATCAAAGAAATCCGTTACATTTTTTACCTTTAAAGTAGATAGTTAAGCCCAGTCCAATACCAAAAAGTATGATAATGTTTACTGCCATCTGTATATATTTAAATCTGCAGTAAAATTTGTGTTTATAGCTTTCAGATGGTCTCCTGGCATTTCGTAATATCTGAAACAGCCGTCGAAGTTACTTAATTTGAAATAAATGACCTAAACCATCATCAAAACAAAATTTAACCTTAATGTTTCTAATTGTAAAGTAGTTAAAGAGTGAAACACAACAAAGCTATGAAAAATCAACAGATTTATTTTAGCGTGATTGTAAACTGAACGCGCAAGGCTCACGAAAGGAAAAAATGGAGCAAAGACGACAGACAGCAATTAAAAGATATCTTCTGTAGGAAAACAAAGTCCTGGGATCCTATTTTAGTGTTTACTTCCCTGATGGAATTAATATACATGAACCTCAATTTTCGTTTAGAGATTCATATTCGCAAAGCTCCTACTTTGAATTTTAAAGAAGAAAACAAAATTCATCATTCAAAGGCTATACTTTGAAAAGTTAGCCTATATAGTTACTGAAAAAAAAGCGGAGCGTCGCAAAATATAGGGCCAAAAAATAAAGAAAAATGTATCCCAATATAAAATTACCAATTCATAGCCAGTTCTGTAAAATTGTTTTTAGTTTCTTTGAATGTGGTAGACAATGATTCAGTATTAAAACCAGGGTTGGCATGATTTATATCATGATTTAAATCAAGTGATTTTTTAAATTTTAATCATGTGATTTAAATCAAAAAAATAGTTTTATTGAAACTTTATAATAAATCAAAAAATAACTGTAAAAGTTATAAAAATCTATCCTAGAAAACTATCAAAAATATTTCTATAACAGATAATAAATCGAAAAATAATTGTAAATATTATAAAACTATATAAAAATATCTATTCATCAATTTAATTGTTGAACCGATTTTTGAAGTAATTTCGTGTGAATCCATAAGACCGCTAAACGCAGGAATTTATTTTAAAATTTATTTATAAGTGACAAAACGCTTTTCGAATACATATCATTCGCCGACTAGTGCAGAACTAGGTTCTTCTGATATAGAGACTATATCTTCATTCCCGAAAATCTATAATCGTTGTCAGAAAATATGTTGTTTTATTTTTTTTTTGAAACGTTGGTATGTTTCCAAATTCTTACCGACATTTTGATTTGCAGTAAGTACTTTACACTTTGACATTAGATAATACTATTTTCATTTTCGACTAAAGACTATTTCCGAACAATAGTGTATTGTTTTATTAAGAGTAGAAATTATACTTTTTTTGACGATGCTGTACATTTGAAGGACCATCGTAAAGCTATACCATCGTAAGCTTTTCCGACGTTACAAGGAGGCACAAAAGTACATTTTACTCCGAATAAAACACTATTTTTTAAACATTACAAATAATTTTTTTAATCAATTTCAAACGTTGCAAATAATACAAACAGTAATCGAGAAACGATTTGTACACTCGTTGAATTTGACACCTAATATCAGATTAATAATATATTTTTGCACTTTTGTGCTTAGGCGTAACAGTGCTTTACTTTTATGCCTATAGCCGTTAAAATGACAAAAATTAATACTTTTGAGACGTTTGAAAAAAAAATCCTTTTGATCTGAAGCGAGCGACTTTTTTGCGGAATATATTGGTGACCGATGTGGAAAAATGACACGCCCCGTAGAATTGTTAATTTTATCGGTATCGCTCAGAGTTATTAAGATTTATCCATTTAGGATAGGACTTTAATAGGAAATAAGTCCTAGTCATTTAGAAATCTGATTTAAATATTGTTTTGAATTAAAATAAAAAAAAATCCGATTTAAATCAAAAAAATCTGATTTCTTAAAAAAAAATCATGATTTTTTCCAACCCTGATTAAAACTAAAAGAATTTCGGACTTCCACTGTCTTTATTTATTTGTTGTTTTGAACTGTTATTATTAGCGAAACGTTATGTAAGCAAATTTTTGTACAGAATATTATAGTGAATGGTCATCGGAGTCTAGCCATTTTTCAACAGGTGAAAGATAGATCCAATTTAATAGAACTACTTACTTTGTGATGCACCGACATGTTAGAGCCATTATGAAACCTAACCACCGTCTGAAGACCCACCGGGGTTGAAACGCTTTTTGTTATGCTGTTTACTTCATCCAGACTTCCTTCGTCATCTTTTATATCTTTAATTTTCGTTATACTTCCGTTCTGCATTTTGTGTATGGGTGTCTTAGGTATCAGAGGAGTCTCCATGCTCTTCGTCGTGTAACTAGGAGAAGAGTTTTGGCTGAAACTATCGGTGGATATACCTGAGTCTTGCCGCATCGACATTTTCCCGGGCTGGTTGGGTTTATAAATTCTGTTCGGAGTTATCGGCTTATTACATTCTTGCTTCGTACTGCATTTTTTCGTGTTCTCTAGTTGTGGCAGTCTCACATTATCAAACGGAAAACTGGTCTGGTTCGACTTGATATGCATGTGCGTAAATCGACTGATTTCCGCCTTTCGATGCTGATCTCCGGTGTGTTCTTTCGTCGTTGGCAAGGTCGGTTTTTGACTAGGCAGCAATTGATTGAATGGAGGCGCTCGCGTTTTAGGTGTTGGTGGTAATGGAGGTGGCTGGGACGACTTTCTTTTAATGTGAGCGTTTGGATTTAATGGTGGACTGTGCTTGGGAGCAGACGACATAGGAGGTGTAGATGAAACAGGAGGAGGTATAGTGCGTTTAGGGATGGGAGGTGGACGAAGGGGAATAGGAGGTGGAGATTTAATCTAAAAATAATTATTTCTATTTTTTTAAGTGCGTGGTTTTGGAACTAAAAAGACAAGCACATTCAAAATTTTTGATTTTTTTGTGATTTATGAATTTCTAAAAACTCTTAAGAGATTAACAGGCTTTAAAAATCTTTTTTTTCATAATATTATTGGTTTTGATACACATAATTTAGTATACGATGTTCTTTGATTCAATTTAGGGCATATCTAAAAAGAACAACTCTACACTCAACAACACTCCATTTCAGTGCGATTCTTGACAGCACTACTAATTAGGATTATTTGGATTATAGAATTTATTTGAATTGGATAATCTAAAATTCATCAGCTAAACAGTAAATCATCTTAATAATTTATATATAAATTTTATTAATAAATTAAAATATTGTTTTCTATCTTTTTTTTAATTTTTTACTTATTTGTGATAGCTCAATACTTCTAATCATATATGTTCAGTCTCATATTTCTAGAAAAATCTGATAAAAATATAACTGATATAAAAACTAAACCAGTGTTTTCTCGTGTTGTGTAGACACAATCCGAACTACAAGCTCTTTAAAAGATTTGAGATTGTGAAGTGATTATAAAAGGCAATATAAAACGGGAACTCGCTCGGTAACAAAGAAGTTATATTACTCTCTTTTCCACACTATTGTAACTTTCTCTCTTATTTTTACGCACATCTAAAAAATAACTTCTAACAACGCAAAGAAATAAAATCATTTCGGTGTTTTCTCGTAGCCTGTAGTTGAAGAAAAAAACAGGACAAAAAAGGAAAAGCGTATTCACGGAAAAATATATAACGGAGAAAAACGGAAAGTCAAAACAATGCTTGATAAGTTTCTTCTGGTTATAGGAAATTCAAAGGCGCGTTATATTTATGGCTTGGTTCAGATTGTTCGGGAGAAAGTAAAGATATTAGAGATGAGCAAAAGTGCGATTATCGAATCGTAATTGAAACTGCGATTGCGATTTTAATATTTAAATATTGTACTAAGCATATAATTGCCTGTGTATGTATCTAGAGCTTAACAGTTCAAAAGAGTTAATAATAATCAGTTGTTAAGTTTTTTTAACATTGAGTTCCATTGGTGATGGAGTTTTAAATCCTAATTTATGTCATATACTAACATACGAAATTTCGTTTTTTATCACAAAAAATAAAAAAGTTGTAGGGGTGAACCACTCTTGAAAAACACCTGGTATATTATGATCGTGGCCCTAGAAAATAATGCCTTCTCTATAAATAAATAATATCAGAGAGAAAATTCAATTGCAATTTACCATAAAATGCTTCAATAGACCACAAAATTACATGCGCAACAAAACCGCAAATCGCAACTCCTAAAAATTCAAACTCGCAGATATAAGGTTGTCACGGTCCTAGTTTGCAAAATCGCAAATCGCAACTATAATAATAATAATAATAATAATAATAATAAGCTTTATTCATAACTATATGGAGATACATTATGAAAGGGCGAAAGTGCAGTCTTGCTATTAAATCTAACCAGACTGTTTTTACACTCAACCCAAAAAAAAACAACAAAAAATATATACATATATACATATACACACGCCTTATCAATAAATATCTAAATCAAAATAGTTATTAAATTATTTTCTAACATTGCCAAAATCTGCTAAACAAAAATTATATTTTTTTTCGACATTAATATAATAACATTGCTTAATATTTCTAGTAATATAATTATACTTAATGCAACAATAGAATTTGCTATCAATCCTACCAATATCTAATTAAACAGTTAAACAAGATATATCCATAATAAGGGCTAGATTATTTGCGAGAGATGCTCTTTTAATAATCTTCTGAATACATATAGTGACGTTGCAGATGTTATCGTACGAGGTAATGAGTTAAATATCTTGACTATATTATATGAGAAGGAACGGTTGAAAATTGTTAGTCTATCGGTAGGAGGAGTGAGATTACCTTTAAATCTTAAATTTAGGTTGTGAACATCTTCTCTAAAATATATTTTCTGGTAGAGGTATTTAGGATGCTTAGAGTATATTAATTTATAAAATAATAAGGAGGAATGCATAAAACACCTTGTTTTCATATCAAGCCATCCTACTTCTTTTAGCTTATACGAAACAGGTTGTTGTCTTTTAATTCCCAGCAGAAAAAACGTAAACAATATTTTTGGATTTTTTTGTATCCGTCCCGATTCAAAAGCGGTAAGGCAGGTCCATAAACTACATTGCAATAATTAAACTTTGATAAAACTAGAGTATTACACAACAGTAGTTTGCTTTTTTGGTCTAATATATCTTTTGAGTTGTATAAGATTTTAAGATTAGTTATTGCCTTCCTACTCGTTACATGTGACTGAAATCTGAGATTGTTATCTAATATCAAGCCAAGATTTTTTGCCTCTGATTTAACTGGTATTGTTACATTGTTAATTTTAATGTCGACCATATTAGTAATATCCTTCCTATATTTTGATGAACCAAAAAGCATGGCCACACATTTATTGGGACTTAAGGTCAATGAATGATCATGAGAAATTCTATAAATATTCTTAAGATCATAGTTAATTTTGTCACAACTTTCTTTAACTAAGTGTTTCGGGAAAGAGTAAAATAGTTGAAAATCATCGGCATACATTTGTGACTTACAATAAGTTAGAAATTTAGGAAAAATTGCTGTATAAATATTAAATAATATGGGACCCAAAATTGACCCTTGTGGCACTCCTCGAGTTAGAGTGCGGCATGAGGATGACTGATTTTCCAGTTTAACAAATTGTTTTTCTGTTATTGAGGTACTGTCTAAAAAAAAAAAATCCACAGCTGAACTAGTTAACCCAATATGTTCTAGAATCTTAGTTAATGCTTTGTGATTCAGAGCATCAAAAGCTTTACTATAATCTAGTAATACAAGTAATGTAAATTTGTCTTCATTTATTGATCTAAATATATGATCTGTAACATTTAATAAATCGGTAGTACAGCTATGTCCTTAATAATGGTGGTTGCCTAAATTGAAACTCGCAAATAGAAGAAGTCGCAATCGCAGGTTGTGATTGCGATTCTAAAATCGCTGCGATTGAATCGCAGTTTGCGATTTTTTGCTCATCTCTAAAAGATATAAGTTTATCGTACGTTTTTTTATTATTTCTGGCTGATATATTCCTGAAATAATCCAATTAGCCGTCGATGTTCAAGCAGAAGCTGAAAGCGGAAAAAATCTTCACGGGTAAAAGAGTTAGAGGGCAGTTCCGCAAATAAACGCTGACCGGATAAGGGTGGGGTTTGTAACAACTTCAGTATTTACATTTTGCGGTCCAGATTGTCCTCGACAGTTTGCTACGTCAACAATTATACATTAAGATTAGTCTTACACAGCTTCTAAACTCGTACAACAGCCTTTCACGACGGTTTATTAAACTCCGCAATTTTATTTTCCGTTTCTTAAAACCTTTAAAATCCGTCATGAAAGGGAATCACTTCGTTTTTTCGAGGCTCCCTCGGTATCGCAAAAATAAGAATTAAATACATTCAATCCTTTCATTAACCCTCGGGGTTTTGTACGAATTGATTTTTTTCAGCTAAACCGTTTTCCAAAGGCGTTTTATTTATTTTTCTTTCATAAAAAATGATGAAGTACTGATAAGAAAACAAGATTATGTAGCAAGCCCAAATCTAAAGTAAGTTTTCTTTTTTAAACATCTTAGTATCAGAAAAACGTTAAATAGAAAATAGGCCTTTAAATACAAAGCTTTGGTAAAAACTTCAATTTTTATTTCACCCGGAAGGGGTGAAATAAATATATAAAATTATCTTTCGAAATTTTGGAGAAACGGTAAGGTCTAGAAAAGTTCAAATAAAAGTTGTGGAGCGTGAAATTTTACATAGAAATGATCTCTATACTTTTTTGCTCACTTCAAAATTAACCGAGATAGGGTGGCTAAAAGCTCGGGGATGATAGTAGAAATTAAAAAAAAATATATAAAGTTCCTGAAATTTTATATATGTATTTAACATTTTTATTCAAGTTGTTGGGAAAATTATAGATTTCAATTCATTTTAAAAAAGAGATTTTTTAAATTTGCCCCGAGAAGGGGTGAAAGATATAAATAAAGTGTTTTTTTTTTAAATTTCAGAGAAACGGTAAGAATGACATTGGAAAAAACGTTTCAATAAAAGTTGTCCTCTAGCTTCTGGCCACTCTATCTCGGTTAATTTTGATTTAAGCAAAAAAAGTATAGAGACCATTTTTATGTAAAATCTATTTAAACTTTTATTTGAACTTTTTTTTTTTAGACCTTACCGTTTCTCCGAAATTGCGAAAAAATAATTTTATTTATTTATTTCACCCCTTCTCGAGGGTGATTTTTTTTTCACAATTCGTTTTTAGATCTTTCAAAGTAACCTATATCAAAAATTTTTACCAAAACTTCGTATTTGGAGACCTATTTTCTTGGATTAAAAATAAAAAAAAACTAGAAAGTCCATTTATTTGATTTATTAATTGAAAATAATAGTATGGATTTTCCCTCAGATAATATCATAGAAACATCGGTATTTGCTTAAGCCATTTTTTTTCCAAATCCTTAACAAATCTTACGCACACATCAAATTATGAAAAGCCTCGAGAAAATTCTGCCCTGACAAGGAGAAAACATAAATTTTCTTGGCACAACACGATAATACCCCTGTTTAAGAGGATAATTCTCTATGTTTTTCTGATCATCTTATTAAAGGTTTCGGCTCTAAAGATAAAGGGCCGGGAAGATTTTCTTTTAAATAAATTTCTTTCGTACTAGATTAATGGAAATTTGTATTGTATGCTATTTCCTCAATTGATTTTTGTATCTAAAACCTTAAGATGGTTTTAAAATTTATTTTTAAACTTGAGTGATATTTTGATGCGATTTTTTAGCTATTAGTTATTCCAGTCAAGTAGAAATTGTGTCTGTCTCTAACACATTACTTTAGTCATTAATAATGACCTTTAAATCTGAATCTGTCGCGCTGAATGTGCCATTCAGTGATTAATTGACAATAAATCTTCTAGGGGGAGAGAAAAGAAAGAGAAAGGATTTTTTTCTTTAGTCAATAATAATAATATGAACTTTATTTAACCCTTTAGTCCAAGAAAATAAGCCTTCAAATATGAAGTTTTGGTAAAAATTTGATTTTTTGATATGAGTTAGTTTCAAAGACCTAAAAACGTATTGTGAAATATTTTTTTTAAATTCACCTCCGAGAAGGAGCGAAATATATAAATAAAATTATTTTTTCGAAATTTCGGATAAACGGTAAGGACTAGAAAAAAAGTTCTTGGACTACTTGTTTAGTTAGTAATCGAATTTTGAATGCTACTTGTCTTTTTTTTTTACTAATTCCATTTTTATTGAACGCGACTTGGATAGATATGACTTACGTTAATATTCGCTAATCTCCTATCATCGTTAGCTGTGCACGCGTGCGCAGAATGCCTGCGCGCGTATATGTGGCTTGAGTTGATGGGTGCTAACTTTAAGGACGTACTTGTGGTGTCGTTTTCACTGTTGAAAAGGTCCAGCAGATTGGGCTCGTTGTCCATTAGGTACGAGTCCCATCTAAATCAATAACATTAGCGCTAACATTCGGTGAAAGCTTTTGAAAGGTTGGCAAACAACATTTTTCTAGGCCGATAAAATCAGCCCTTATTTTAAGACGTTTGCTGAGCGTTTTATCTGATATACTTTCGAGTTCCCGAAGGATAACTGTAAATTATATCAAATAGTTTCTCTTGAGTGTAGTAGGAGACCGGGATGCGAAAAATGATCAGTTATTACTCGGAAATTATAAGCCTCTTTATTATAAGTTAAATTGGAGGATTATTTAAATTGATTTTTATGGCACTTTATTTCCAAGTAGTTTTCCTCAAAAAGAAATGGTTCGTGGCTTCTAAGTAGGATTTTGTTCTTTTAATTATATAGTTTGTAGAAAGTTTCAGTATTTTTCACGTAATTAATTAAGCAGACCTTAAAAATCATAGTGTTTTTAGCATAATATCGTTAATTATGACACCCATTTAATCTAAAATTACTTTATTATTCAGTGTGCAATATTTTTTACTTAATTAAAGATATATCTAAAATTAAATTATCTTAATTATAATATAAGATTTTACTTACCTGTGATAATTGTTTGTGCCTTCAATTTGACTGAAACTATTTCTATGTCTATCGACCATTATTGTAAATTTACATTATCCACAGACTCAGAGCATTAAACCTGTTGCACCTGTATTAAATAAATATTTATTTTTCAGTAAAAACCAATGAAATATCGGTAAGTTTTATTCAGTAGCATTAACCAATAATTACATACATTCTAGCCAACGTATGATGCCGCAAAATTACATATTTTATTTAAACTAGTAGAAGTTATAAGTTTACATTCGTTTATAAAATTTAATTTGGCTGGTAATAATTTTCGTACGTCTGTAATGAAATAGCAACAAATATTTCTCGGTTTATTTACAAAATAATTTATATTTACGTACTTGTATAGCAATTTCGAAATAACGAGATAAATAATTTGACAAACCTGGGCTGTTTACTCTAAGCCATAGAGTAAATATATAAATCAAGCAAATTACATGACAAGCTTAACTGTAATTTCCTAAGCGCTTCTAAAATATGCGATGTTTCTCAAGACCTGTGTTCATTTTAAGGTTATTATTAAAAATGTTAATTTAAATCAAACACAGCCAGAGGGCAGGCTAACTTTGGACATGTAATTGATTTGTAAATTCGAGATTATTGAAATTAAATCAAAATTATTAGTTTTATTTTTATCAGAATATGAGTATAAATTACGTCTGTATGTTATTTACAGTTGTTGTAGGCTTAAGTATACCTACTTTAAAATAGATAGAAAATCAAAAGTTTTGATTTAGGTAAATATACTAGGATTAGCAATGTTGATCAAAATAATCAATTTGTTGAAAATTTTAGTTATGTGCACGTGCTGGCCATTAACTATTTTTGCGTTTTACCGTAACCACCGTTATTACGGTGGTTACGGTTTTACCAATTAAATAAAACAAATAAATTCTCAATAATATTTTAAAAATCATTTTTAGAAGAAATTTCGATATATTTTATTCATTAATTTTTATTCAAAATAGGATAACATAAAATTTTCCAATATAGACATTAAAAAACTTGTCATTTATTCTTGTTTTCTATCTTTCTATTTTTCTGTCTGTCGTTATTTGGACGTTGTATATATGTTGTAATTATTTCAGCAATATTAAATGGTTTACTCTTATCTCTAGGAGAATGATTTGTAGATTAAAGCCAAATTGTAACTATAAACTAACTTTATTATTCATTGATTGTAATTTTCTATCATATTTCTGTCGTACAATGTATCATTATCGTTAATAAAACAAACGTTATAGCGATACAAAATTTATTTGGTAGGTGAAAAGAAATAACTTCTTACTTTTTTAAATATACGTTTAGAAATACTTCGAGGCTTGGTGTCGATAAATCTGATGAATTGTGATGAATGATATCCAATACCCGAACTTGAATAGCTTTTTTGTGAACTTTTACTTTTTGGGGGTCAATCTCGCATAATTACTTAATTTTTACCGATATTTAGTGAAATAAGACGAAATAAAACTAATGGTTGTTACAACAAAAAAATTCTGGTGAAGCAAGGAACAGTTCTGCGAATTTAATCTTTATTTGGTTAAGAGTCGTTATATTAGAAAAGTTTCGACACTTGATATATTTTCCGTAACGATGTTTATTTTTCCAACAGGAAAAGTTATGAGCTTAACAAAAAAAATTTACCTTTTCACCGCAACTTGATGGTCGTTTTTTCTTATAATACTCTTGAGCAAATTTATTTTTTCATAAGTACCAGGATTAAAATAAAAATGATCAAGTAGATAAATAAAAGACTTTACCAGATTTTACTATAGATAGACATACATCCAATAGAATTTAAATATGTACATACATACTATTTTATTAAAATATATTCGGATTTAAGAGGTTAGCAACTGTGGCATTCCGAAAAAAAAGTGAAATTCCGAGCGGATTTCAGTTTAAATTCTCTGGAAGAAACACTATTTTGTTCGAGTTTTCTCTTTTGATTTTGGGTTCGACAAGGCATATCCGTAAAATAGGATCGAAGTGATAAAATTGTTTTTCCATAGGAATTCCATTAAATGTCAAAATGTTTGCACTCAATACAAAAAATAATACAGTTTTCTCGACCTATGAAAAAATAAGCGTATTATTACGAAAATTCAATGTTAATATTTTTTAAATGAAGTTTAAAAAAGTTACTCTAATAGAAAGTGCGTCTCATATCTCAATCAGTTATGTTATCAACTCAGTCACTAATAAAATAAATAAATCTTTTACTTTAAACCAATATAAAAATTGTGATATAGAAATATTTTGAAACAAATAAATAGATATATATTGTTTTACTTAAATATGGGAAGATTAAAATCGTTATTTTAATAGAAAATTTGCTTCACATCCCAATCAGTTATGTTAACAACTCAATTACTGTTCTTTTTTATTGTAAAAAAAAATAAATAAATCTTATATTTTAAACATAAAAATTGCGATATAGAAATATTTTGAAAGAAATAAATATATATTGTTTTATTTAAATATAGGATTATATAATATTAAATAGATATTTTAATATGAAGTTCCTCTCATATCCCCGTCAGTTATGTTAATAAATCAATTACTATGCTTTTGATTGTACAAAAATAAATAAATCTTATACTTTAAACCAACTTAAGAATTGTGATATATAAACATTTTCAAACAAATAAATATATATTGTTTTACTCATACTTGAGATGGCAGTAAATCCGTATACGAAGGATAAAAAAAGCAATACTACATCTTGAAGCTAAATACCTCAAAAGGAAACGTTGCTTGGTTCAGAATATGACGTTGGATTTTCTCTAATAAAATAAATAGCATAAAATCGGTTAAAAGAAGCAAAAATATTTTTATTTCTAAAACATAGAGAATTGTTTACATATACTTTAATAGACATTTGAATATTCGTTATTAATATTATTTATTATTTGTGTTTATTAATAACTATATATTTTGTGTGAAAAAAATCTTACGCTTTTAGAGACATTTATATATTATGTCTAAATTTGATGGAGTAAAAGATATTTATATTTAGGGATTATTTTCTTGAGTTTTGACAAGAATAAACATTCTAGCAAAATTCCATGTGAAATTATTTGAGAACAGCCGAGGAATAGATATTACATTTATTTATTCTAGTTTTATATTATGTTTGTTTTATTTAGTTTTTTTTATCCGTGTAAAATTGAGACTATTATTACGTATTGATCATTACGTCTAGAATTTACAACATTATTTCGCTTAAAGTAAATTAAAAGCAATAATGTTATTTAGATTTTTTTTAATATATCCTGATCATATAGTTTCTAATTTAATTTCCTTGGAAAGAAATATTTATTTTAAGTTGTTTGAATGGAAAATACACAGTAACAATTATTTAAAAATAAGATTTCAGTGAAAAACATTAATTAAATTCCTGTTTTCGTAAAAATAAACTTATGACTCAAAAAGTTCGAATTAAAATATTATTGATATGGACCGAAATATCGCGAAGTCAGTCAATTCTTTGAAAAACATACAACATGAAACGAAAATTAAACAGTATTTTGCTTACTTTTCCTTGTATTTATTTTTGTAAATACAAGAGCGCGTTTTGTTATTAAAGCATTTAATTTTGTCGGTAAAATTATTACACAAAATTAAAATATTAAACTTATTTTTTTTTAATTTGATTCTGTGAATTATTGTAACAAATTTAATAAAAATAAAATTAGCTAAAAAGAAATTTAGTGATCAAAACCCCCTTTTTAAGTATTCAAAAAATTAAATGCATTTTTTAGTTGCAATAATTTAAATTAAGAATTAATTTTTTAATAATAATAAAAAAAATAAAAGTGTATTTAAGTAGTTATATAAATATTAAATTAAATAAGTCTAGGCTGAATTATGTTCAAATACTTTTTTTAAACGAGATGGCAACGATGCCACAACAATTTAACGCGGAACAATTCAGTAATAAATCGGTACGATAAAGTTCGCTCACCTGGCCTCCTGCGATGTAGATGCAGTCTCAACCACGACAAAAGCACATGTGCATGTAACTCTACTCGCGACTGACGTGCTTGACAAGCTTGCGCAAAAGCTTAGTTGGCAATGTTGCCGTGTCAGGACGTTTGGAGTAAAAGCTCTAAGGATATACGTGCTATAACTCATTTGGCAAGGGCACATAAATTTTTTGGCGCGAATTTGTAGAGTGGCAGACAAGATATTTTCCGTCTTCTGTCGTCTTTTATCCGAAGAAGAGTTTTTTCGTTAATGTACAGTTAATTTTGTTTAATTTTATGGATAGATAAGGTCAAAAAGCTCTACAAAAAAAATACATATATATTTTATAGTTTAGTTTAAGTATTTTTGAGGGGCCAGGATAAATAGTTTCTGGAACATAATGTGGTGTATAAAAAATCTTTTATACATTTTTTAGAGCCATTTTCTAGGTCTTAAAAACATAGTAAACATAGTGATAAATTGTAAAAATTTCACCATTTTTTCACCACCTTTGAAGGCTTTAGGTACCTTGTCTTTGCGAGAAAATTAATTTTTTGGGTCCTTGTTTTTCAGCAAATTTTGATGAATGTTATAACGTCTCCTACACCTTTTAGTTAGTAAATAACAACACTTAAGAAAATTGGTGACATGACGAAAATAGACAATTTGCATGAGTTTTATGGAAAAAAGTCGAAAAACTTGGCTATTTTCAAAGGCATTAGAAAAATAGTAAACATACTCCTAAAATTTTGAAAATATCAGTATTTGTAGGAAATTTTATGTAGTTTCAGAATATATAAACCGTTTAGAACTTGAATTCTCTGATTTTGCAAGAAAATTGATTTTTTGGACCCTTGTTTTTGAGTGATTTTTGAACTCTCTCATTTTTGGGTATTTTTTCACATTTTCAGAGGTCTTAGAAGAATAGTAAACAATTCTAAAATTATGACTATTTCGGCATTTGTAGGAAATTTTATGTAGATTCAGAATATACACCTTTGAAGGCTTATCTATCTTGGCTTTGTGAGAAAATATTTTTTTTTTGACCCTTATTTTTCAGCTAATTTTGATGAAGGTTAAGACGTCCCCTACATCTATTACTGTTCTCTCATAAGACAAAAATGACCTATATTTTCTTTGTTCTATACCTTTTAGTTAGTAAATATCAACAATTTTAACAAAAATCGGTGACAAGACGAAAATCGACAATTTTCATGACTATATGTATGGAAAAAAAAGTCGAAAAAACTTGGCTATTTTCAAAGTTAAGGCGTTAGAAAAAAGTAGTAAACATACTCCTAAAATATGAAAAATATCAGTATTTGTAGGAAATTTTATGTAGTTTCAGAATATATAAACCTTTTTAGAACTTGAATTTCTGATTTTTGCAAGAAAATTGATTTTTGGACCCTTGTTTTTGAGTGATTTTTGAACTCTCTCATTTTTTGGGTATTTTTTCACATTTTCAGAGGTCTTAGAAGAATAGTAAACAATTCTAAAATTATGACTATTTCGGCATTTGTAGGAAATTTTATGTAGATTCAGAATATACACCTTTGAAGGCTTATCTATCTTGGCTTTGTGAGAAAATATTTTTTTTTTGACCCTTATTTTTCAGCTAATTTTGATGAAGGTTAAGACGTCCCCTACATCTATTACTGTTCTCATAAGACAAAAATGACCTATATTTTCTTGTTCTATACCTTTTAGTTAGTAAATATCAACAATTTTAACAAAATCGGTGACAAGACGAAAATCGACAATTTTCATGACTATATGTATGGAAAAAAAGTCGAAAAACTTGGCTATTTTCAAAGGCGTTAGAAAAATAGTAAACATACTCCTAAAATTATGAAAATATCAGTATTTGTAGGAAATTTTATGTAGTTTCAGAATATATAAACCTTTTAGAACTTGAATTCTCTGATTTTGCAAGAAAATTGATTTTTTGGACCCTTGTTTTTGAGTGATTTTTGAACTCTCTCATTTTTGGGTATTTTTTCACATTTTCAGAGGTCTTAGAAGAATAGTAAACAATTCTAAAATTATGACTATTTCGGCATTTGTAGGAAATTTTATGTAGATTCAGAATATACACCTTTGAAGGCTTACCTGTCTTGGCTTTGTGAGAAAATATTTTTTTTTGACCCTTATTTTTCAGCTAATTTTGATGAAGGTTAAGACGTCCCCTACATCTATTACTGTTCTCATAAGACAAAAATGACCTATATTTTCTTGTTCTATACCTTTTAGTTAGTAAATATCAACAATTTTAACAAAATCGGTGACAAGACGAAAATCGACAATTTTCATGACTATATGTATGGAAAAAAAGTCGAAAAACTTGGCTATTTTCAAAGGCGTTAGAAAAATAGTAAACATACTAATAAAATTATGAAAATATCTGTATTTGTAAGAAATTTTATGTAGTTTAAGAATATATAAACCTTTTAAAACTTGAATTCTCTGATTTTGCAAGAAAATTGATTTTTTGGACCCTTGTTTTTGTGTGATTTTTGATCTCTCTCATTTTTGGCTATTTTTTCACATTTTCATAGGTCTTGGGAGAATAGTAAACATATAATAAAATTATGAATATTTTGGCATTTGTAGGAAATTTTATATATATTCAAAATATTATATACCCCTTTGAAGGCTTTGGTACTTTGGCATTGTGAGAAAATTATTTTTTTCGGCTCTTGTTTTTCAAACTCTTAGAAAAATAGTAAACACGGACATAAAGTTCTGAAAATTTTAGAATCTGTAGTAAATTTTATGTACTTTTAGAAAATATAAACATTAATGGGCTTAAATTTTTATTTTTTTTAGAATATATATTTTTTAAACTTTTAATTATTTAATACCAGTAGACTATTATATTATTGCGAAGGGGTCGATAATAAATTATAATAAACATTGAATTCTTTTTCTCCGAAAAAAAAATACATAAAACTTTCGAGAATTTTCAGGTAAAACGACTTATGTTTCTTGGTAAAATAAATAAAATTCGTGAAATGAGATTACGTGAGAGATTATTACATTTTCTTAGTAGAATACAATAAATATTTTTGCAACTTTTGAAGTAATAAATTTTATTCGAAATTCTCTATAGATTGTATTTAGTTTTATTTAAGATTCTTGTAAGATTAAGGTGAAAGATTAACTTAATTGGGCTCCTTTTCTTGGGACGTTGAAAACCTTTTGTGAATTGGCCCTAAGAATTAATCTTAGAAAGGTTTAGGCCTTTATCATAGCCTATCATTGTGCCGAAAATATTTCGTCATTCTTTCAGCAAACTACAGAAGAAATTGCTTGAAATTTCTGTTAACATTTATATATTCTTAATAATGTTTTTTTTTATATTTCAATTTAAATTTTTAATGTTCAAATAAAATGAAACAGCATTGTTTTAAACGACACAACAACTTTGATAATGGAAATTAAAAAATAAATAAATAGTCTGAAAAATAGTTTTTTAAAACAAAACTCGTTTAAAATTCTCGATTGGTTGAACAGCAATCAGTTTATTTTTGCATAATGGTATTTTAAAATGAAACAAATGAAATGCCGTGCTTGGAAAGAGATGATTTAAATTTGTTGCGTCTGTAATGAATTGATAAAATGTTATTATTAAAATGTTGCACAAAAAACAGTAATTCCTTTTTTAAATGGAAATATACTTCGAACTGATCCTTTGATGTATGTGTGTATCAAAATAGTTAAATTATGATTTAAAATAGCTGCTGTCAAAGAGAAATTCACATATAATAGCAATAAATACCTGATTATGGCTTTGAATTAACATTAAAGACATGATAATGTAGATCACTGGGACTGGAATTTAATGGAAATCTATATTAACCCGAATAATTATATCGATTAGTTGTTCAAATATTTGATTTAAATTAGCCATATTTGCAGAAAATTCTGAATATCCTAAATTGATATAAGCCAAATTTACAATGCAGTATATTTGATTTTTTTTGAAAATATGGCACCTCAATTCACAATATTTATAAGATATTACTTTTTTTATATAAGAAAGTCTCAAAATAAATTTAGTAAAATCTAAAGTAAAGTAAAATCTGTGTAATGTATTTAGGAGCTAACATCAATAGTCCGTGCGACCCGAAAAGAGAAATATTTTCAAGAATTGAGCAAGCGAGAAAAATCTTCGTGAGAATGAAATCATTTTTTACAAGAAGAGACCTCAGTGCGGATTTCAGAACTCGAATGGCCAGATGCTACGTCTTCTCTGTGTTACTCTATGGATGTGAGAGCTGGACACTGGATTCACAGACCGAGAAGAGAATAGAAGCCTTCGAAATGTATATATACGGACGGATGCTGCGAATCTCGTGGGTACAAAGGATCACCAACAATGAAGTACTCCAGCGCATGCAGAAACAAAAAGAGATACTGAACACCATCAAGGAAAGAAAAATGCAATACCTGGGTCATGTGATGAGAGGTGGTAGATACGAAATATTGCGCCTCATAATAGAGGGCAAAGTGCAAGGGAAAAGATCAGTAGGAAGACGCCAGAACTCATGGCTAAAAGATTTGAGGAGATGGTTTGAACGCTCGTCTGCGGAAATCTTCCGGGCTGCAGTTTCCAGAGCCTCAATTGCCATTTGGATCGTCAACCTTCGGCAGGAGAGGGCGTGATAAGAAGAAGACAGTAATGTACAACGAACTAGTAGACAAAAAAGACATTCAGGACAACCAATACATAGCTCAGTACCTCTACTACCAGAAATCAACAGAAGAGTTAAATTTGAATATTATGTATTCATAACAAACATATATGAAAAAAACTCATTTTCGAATATTTCAAATCTTGAATGGCACTTGGAAAAAAAGATGATACGAAATATGCTGGGAATAACCTAGAAAGACTTAAAAAAAAAGACTTCCTTTACATTTACTTTTAAATCTTATTCTAAAGTAATTCTATATTGGGAAAAATATTTGTAAGAAATAAATCTGTAGCGAAATAATGTACTAAAGGAAAAATGAAATTGCTTCAAACCAAAATGACCGAGGAAGCACATTTTTATTACAT